TCTGGCTTTATTTTTTTATTATTATTATTTTTAGAAATTACTTTATCTCATCAGATTTTTATAATGCTCCTACCTTCATAGCTTTCAATTCAGATAGACAATCAGAAAGGAAGAGATATATTGTCACACTCACTTTAAACCGTGATCATTGGGGTCAAATCCATGTTTTTTGCAAACATCTTCCAATACCTGCGAAAGGGAAACAAAGCAGGATTGCAACAGATCAAAATAAGTCAGATATGAACAGAGTTTCGCTGACTTAATTCGCCCGAAGGCTAAAAACTGATCCGTCACTGGCTAACAGGTGTTAGCCTAGCATGCTAGCTGGTGAACTGTTCGCTCTCGTGTTTTCAGGCATGAATAGAAATAAAAAGCTCCGCGTGCCTGAGAGCACCGCGTGCTCCTTGTACACGGGTTTACCTGTAACAAAGGTGTGTTTGGAGCCACTTTAATTGTTTGTCTTCTCCCGTTTGGAGTCAGAACCGTTACAGCTGAACCGCTGGCTGCCATTGTTTGCAGTGACGTCACGGTGTTTGTTTGAATCAACTTTATTGTCCTCGTTACAGACAGCACAAAAAAATTCAATTAAAGGACCAAATCACATTTCAAGCCGGGAAAAACTTGCTTCACAGTAAACATTGTATTCTCAAAACATTTGTTTTTCTTTCTCTTTTTTGTTTCGCTTCCAATAGCGCAAATAAATATGGAAAGATATTAACCTGAGTGATTCATGACAGGAAGACAACAAGAACGTGCTAACAGTTTATTCTGAAGGCAAATAAATTTACAAATGTTGAAATACTGCAAATCGTTAAATTTATAGAAGCAGCAGAAGAGCATTTTGGGAGCATAGACAGAATAAAAAGGTTCAACAGTTCCATTGTTGTGGAAAATAGCAGAAATTGAGATTGCTTATTAGTGTGCTAATTTGATGATGAAGACAAGCGGTAATAGAGGACTACAGCTTACAGTGCTATGGTTGAAGTACGTATATAAGTACCCTGTCACATTTTGTTGCACTACATCCTCAAACTTCAACTATTTTGTTAATTTTTAGGTGATAGTTGGGCAAGAAAGTGGTAGGAAAAGAACACATGGTTTTCAATTTTGTTTTACAAAAACCTGAACATTTTTACATGCATTTGAATTCAGCACCCTTTACTCTGAAACGGTAAATAAAGTCCAAGGCAATACATTTGTTTTATAAGTCACCAATTGAGATGTGCATGAATAAAATTCTGACTACCGATCCCTGAATACAATTTGCATGCCTGTATTATCTCACAAGAGCTGAACACAAAGGCACACCAAACTTTATAGGTCTTTATTTCTCTTATTTTGAAGCTTTAATCTTTCCTTTTCACTTCACTACTTGCGTTGGTCTCTCACATAAGAATCCAATAAAGTGTATTAAAGTTTGGGGTTATGGAGCGAAAAACTGTGAAAGGTTTCAAGAAGGTCGTATACTTTTGCAAGACACCCAGTTCTTTTTACCACATTAAAGTTGTTTAACAAAACATATTTATAAGAAACAATTGAATTTTCCAAGCCCCCCAAACCGACTCAGATCTTCTGTATAAATGGTCTAACATGTTTCGCATTGACATCAAGACAAATGGGGATTTAACAAATGTTTGTTTAATTTACTTCTGCAAGCTGTAACCCTTCTCTTGCAGATTTATAATGTCAAAATACACTTTAAAATGCCAACAACAGTTAGAGCCATGCCACTGATGAGAGGGTGCTGAAGTGTATCTTACTGTTTTAATAAAACCCGAAGCCACCCATCGGCAAGGCGTTAGAGCTTTGACAGCGTAAAGCTCCTTTTTCTCATTTTAGGACATTTAAAAGGAATATGAAAAAAAGAGATTTGAAATTATTTGCAGCGGCTTTTCAAGGAGAAGAAGACTGATCCTGTCAGAGGCCCGACCACAACACAGCAAATGTGTTTCTCAGATGACTTCATGTAAGCACTGGAGGACGTTTGACAGATGACCTGGGCTGATACCAGAGAATCACGGCTATTTTCTGTCAGCGAGGATCAAACCGGATCAAAGCTGGAGTCGGAGCGAAAAGACAACGGGATACGTGGCTCAGACAGACGGAGAGGTGTGAAGGCCAACAACCGACTGACTGACAGACTGACTGACAGACAACTCGGTCTACATTCAGACACAAAGCCAACAAGAAAGGAGAAGAAAGAGAAAGAGACATCTGGTAGAAAACTGTCACCATCTGAGTAAACAACCAACCAACTTGCATCCTTCCTCACACAGCAGGACAGAATCTTTAAAATTCACTGGATGGAGAGTGTGTTGTGATTTTTCCATACCTGATCTGGGTGCTTAGAAACACATGATGTTTGTTCTGATAAACTCCGAAGGTGATAATGATCTGCACTGTTCTTTCAGCTAAACACATTTTTAATTGTGTGAGCAGTTTAGGATTTTCACTGTTCTTTTCCTTTTCCGAATCCTGGAAAAGCAGAGCCAGTCTAATATTCATATGAAGTGTCTTGCATTAATATTTGTCCCTTTTTTAAATGTTCAACATTTAAAAAAGCAGAGTGTGATTGTAAAGTCAAAGTAAAAGGACACACGATTTGAAAATATTTCCAAAATAAAAATATAATACAAAAGTAGTGTGCATTTGAGTTCAGTCCCCAGGAGTCAATGCTTTATCCGTGACAACAGCTGCAGGTCTTTTAGAGTAAATCTCATTATTGCTCCCATTAGTGGCAGAGATGTACTGGGCAGATTTCATTTAAATTCTAATTCAAAAAGACCTTATTAACCACAGAGGAAAATACCTCTAAGGAGGGCACAAGGAGTTGCAAATATTACCGATTTTTATATGAACAGTACGGCTCCGAACTCAGGACTCATTTCTGTTGCTTAATTGGCCCTGACTGACTTTTCTCATGCACGCTACATATTTATTTAATAGGGATCGGTGGCATAGGATAAACAGTGGAAGAAGAAAAAAAATGGCAACGAGCAAAGACTGGCAAGCTTTATGAATTACTGGCTTCAAATTAAAGGTTCAGAGGCAAGACTTTATTGGCCTTCATTTATTAATCTCTAGACCAGGGGTGTCAAACTGCAGTCCTCCAGGGCCGCTGTCCTGCAGTTCTTAGATGTGCCACAGGTACAAAACGCTGAAATGAAATGGCTTAATTACCTCCTTATTGTGTAGATCAGTTCTTCAGAGCCTTGCTAATGACCTAATCAGGTGTGGTGCAGCAGAGACACATCTAAAGGTTGCAGGACAGAGGCACCTCCAGGACTGGAGTTTGACACCTGTGCTCTAGATCAATATATAAATGCTTAGCATGATCAAAATCAAAGATACATGGAACGATTTGAGATTTATTACATCTTGACATACAGAATATTTTTTGACACATTTTTTGGCATCAGGACTACATTAGATTGAGGAAAGCATACACATTGAATCCGGATCACTTTTCCCGAAAAGAACCAAAACATTTTATTTTTAGTTCATGTGATAAGACAGTCATGCAGGAATGATTGACGAGGGATCTGCGTATCTCGTCCCCCCCACCACCACCCCCGCTGACTTGATCTAAACGCGTCCGGTGACCTCTTGACCTCCCAGCAGCTCGAGATCGTACCCACAATAAACAACGTGAAAAGTGAGGTTTCCGTTTTCGGCTCATAAAGAGACTAAAAATACGTGCACAGAGCTGCAGCGCCACGGACCCCTCACACACCGGATTCAATCAGCACTTCAAAGGCTGCGTGAGCATGTGACGACACAACATCAAAGGGACGGAGGGCGAGACTCAAACCCAGCGTGTGGGCGTGCCGCGGCGAGCGAGCGCTCAGGGTGTGGGGACCGACGCCCCGCGAGGAGCTGCAGCCAACCACAACATAGACCGACTGGCCCGCGGGAGACAGAGAGAGAGAAAAGAGAATGAGAGAGAGAGAGAGAGAGAGAGGGGCGGGTAGGAGGGAAGGACCTCAGATAAATACCCAACTTCATCTGGAGGTCAGGAGGACTTGGATCCGGAGGGAGATAACGCTGCGCCGGTAACAGATTTTAAAAGGTTCCCTGGGTGATCCGAACTAATTCTGTGCATAAAATTTGGGCGGGGGAGGCGAATCTGGAAGCAACGATGGAGATCCATAATCTGCGCTCATTCAGTCCACCCATGAGCGAGCGGTCGTCTCCGGGAGGCCTCCATGCGCTTTAACAGGACTTCGCATCTCTCCGCGTAGAATGCCGTGTTTGATTCGGACCCGGCTGACACACACGCCCCTGTAACAGCTAGAACCATGAGGAGCCGTGGTGGGTGTCGAAGCTCGGCTGGCCTGTCGGCGGTGCGCTCCTGCCTGCTGCTGCTCTTCATCCACATGAGCGCGCCGGTGGAGGCGCGGCGAGTGCGCGGCGGCCGCGCTCAGACCCGGCGGGTCCAGCAGCAGCAGACTCCGGAGCAGCAGCGGGTGGAAGGACCGGAGAGCTTCCCACTGGACTTCACAGCCGTGGAGAGCAACATGGACAACTTTATGGTGCAGGTTAAGAACCTGGCGCAGTCGCTGTACCCCTGCTCCGCGCAAAAGCTGGATCAAGACATGAAGCTGCACCTCTTGAGTAATTTGTCGGTGACCTGCAACGACGGCTCATCAGCGGGGTGAGTCAGGAGCTTATGCTTTAAGAGCCAAGCGCCCGGTCTGCGGTGGTCGGGCTCCCCTGGCTGCCCCCCCCATTTCGCTGTCACTCCGGATGTGACCAAAATGGATCAAAGGAACAGATTAGAGAGACAGCGCGCGCGCGCGCAGAGCAAAGAGACCATGACTGGCGAAGCAGAGACCTTCATCCCCCACCATGCCAAGTTTTAAATTCTTCTCATTCATCCGGACCACAACCAACCTAGGGCTAGATTTAAAAAAAATAAAAAATATATATACACAATTTGTGACATTACAACAATAGAGTGCGGTGTATTTTATTATGATTTTATGTGACGGACCAACACAATGTAACTTCTTTTTCGTTTAGATTCTTCATTTTGAAGCTGAAAGGAAAAGATTCACGACACAAAACGGGGGAAAAAAAAGTCTTAAAAACTGTCCGCGTTTGTGTATAACCACCTGAGTCAAAACTTCGCTGGTGTTTTGGGGAGAGTCTCTATCAGATTTACACATCGACACTTAAGTTGTTCACCAATTCTTCTCTGCAAAACTGCTCAGAATCAATCAGATTGAACACAACAGCTACTTCTGTTTTGTCACAAATCCCTAACTGGATTTGGATCTGGACTTTGACTGAGCCATTTTCACAAATGATCTAAACGGTTCCACTGTTTAGTCCTTGTCGTCCTGAAAGGTGACCCTCATCCTCAGGTTTCAGGTCTTTCCCCATGTTCCATTCTGGCCCAAGCAGCTTCCCAGCTCCTGTTGAAGAGAAGCATGCCCACAGCATGATGCTGCCACCGCTGTCTTGGTTGTCTTCGCCAAGCAGTTTCTGAAGCCCTCACAGAACATCTAGATTTATGTCGAGATTAAATCAGACACAGACGGACTCGATTAGGTGACTTCATTGAGTCACAAAGCTGTGTATTTGTTTTCAGGAGGCTGAAAACAAATACACACCAAACTTTTACAGTGTTATCCATTTGTAAATAATTTCCCAAATACACAGCTTTGGGCATTGACTTATCACAACAATCCCCCCAAAAATATATATTAATGCCTCGGTTTGCTAGTAATAATAGCCCATAAATATGTGACCAATTGTATTCCATACTGTAAAAATAACCATGATGAAAATATCCTCACTTTTGTGGATCATTTTTGTTTTTCTCATTATCATTTGTGGTGTTACAGAGTCTCTTAAATGCAGTACATGTTGTAGTGATGATGATACAACTTTAGCTCCAGAGTTCACAGAAATGTTTCTCAAATGTTACTACTATCGTTTAAAAGAAAAAAAAAAACATTAACCCTGCAGGTCTTGTTAACGTGTGGACGGCTCCAGAGTATCGGTGTGTGTCCTCACAGGGCGCATGGAGACACACACGCACACACACACACACACACACACACACACACACACACACACTGTCTCAATACGCTGTGGAGGAGAGTAAATTAAAGGGAAACTGCTGTGGATGCAGGTGGCTGCATCTTTGTGCACAGTCACTTCCTACCTGATCTGATGTTCTTGTTCAGGTTCTACATCAAGGAGTCCAAAGGCAGCAGGAGGTGGCTTCTCTTCCTGGAAGGTGAGGATGAGCCGAAGGATGAGAGTCGGCCTGATGTCGGCCTGTGAAGCCTGTTGATGAGCTCAGTGTGTGTGTGTGTGTGTGTGTGTGTGTGTGTGTGTGTGTGTGGTGCAGGTGGGTGGTACTGCTTCAATAAACAGACCTGCAGCAGCCGATATGAGACCATGAGGAATCTGATGAGCTCCACCAAGTGGCCACAGAGCAGAAGAGGTACGAGTCCGTCGCTGCATCAGTGCATGACCCCAGTTGCGTCGTGTTTTATGCGCTCACGCAGCTTTTCCAGGCACAGGAGGGAGGGGTGGGGAGGGGTCTCCTGAATGGTCTGGATTCATGGAAATGTTTGCGTTTCCTCTTTGCGTTTGAGTTGATCCCTGAAAGCCAAACTCTCACTGAATTCCTTCTTAATTCCTGCCAGGGATTCTGTGGAAATCTTCAGCGCCTGCATGTATTCAGTGGCCAAAGCGGGAAAAAAAGTTATTGGCTTATACGTACTTCAGTCAAAAACATTTTCATTATAATCCACAAAGACGCAAATGAGTATCCAGACTTGTGCCGACCGTGATCCTCCCGTTCATCCGTTTTCTGTCTTCACAGGAACAGGAATCCTGTCTCCAGAGCCAGAGGAAAACCCTCACTGGTGGAACGCCAACATGGTGTAAGAGTTTCTTTGTGTTTCCTCTTTCTGCCCATTTCCAATCGGAAGAGAAAACTATTTATACCTTAATTACTAAAGAGTGAAATTTACTGGAGATGGAAAAAAAAAAAAAGCAGCTGGCCAGAGATCAACACCAGACGTTTGGCAGGTCCCCCTGCCAGCATGCCTAGGTGGGCCCCATGTGGGGAAAAGGAGGGCAGGCCATATGGGTCCCATATGGGGTTGTCCGTGGGTTCCATGATGGCCCCACATGGGTTTGCCCATGTGGGGCCAGAGCCCACATGGGCCCTATATGGTGGTGGCCCACATGGGTTTGTCCATTTAGGGTCCATGTAGCAGCCATGTGGGCTGTGGCCCTACATGGGCAAACCCATGTGGGACCCATATATCAGCCCTCCTTTCCCCCACATGGGTCCCACCTAGGCATGCTGGCTGATTTTTTTTTTTTTTTAACCCCAACCAATTTCAGTCACTAAACATTTCACACCAACTACCTTCATGCACTGTAACGCACCTTGTTTGAGTTTAACATAATCCAAATGCAGACGTACGCTTTCATGCGAGAGAATAATCTTGTAATCCTTTCATCTTCTGCTGGATGTAAAACTGCTTCTTCAGTCCAAGAATGTAATGCAATGCAAGTTTTTTTTTTTTTTTATATTTTAAACGTTATAATCCTTAATAGTCGTCAGAATTGGAATCAGACCTCAGTAAAAACCCAAAATTGCAACTGTCCAAGAAAAGACTGATTATTTCATCCAAAAAATATATTTTATTTTTTTGTTTCTTTTTTTGCACGTGTTTTGTTCCTACAGCTTTGGCAAACAATACGGTGGGTCGTGTTGCATTTACTTTGGTAGAGCAGATTGTTAAGGTAGCAAACAAAGAACACAGCTGCAGCTGTTATAAAGAAACAACAGCGACAAAGGGAAGAGTTTACTTTCAGCAATTTGTCCACCGCCAGCATCTATTAAAACTTGGCCCGTGGGACACACTTATAAACACATCCTCCAGTTTACTGTCCGACAGTCAGACTGCATTACAGCTGCACGTTTGTCAGCATCAGCAAACTGATGACCTTTAAATCCAGATGTTTTGCCCTAACAGAGTTTTATTTGCCGTTTCCTGCAGTTTTATTCCTTATTGCTCCAGCGACGTGTGGAGTGGAGCCACGCCAAAGACCGAGCACAGTAAGACCCTGTAAATTAGATCAATCACAGTTTTCTGAGGTGTACTTTCGCCCCTCCGGCCCCCATTTGTGGGTTTGTTTTTTGGAAGCCACAACAAGAAAGAAAGAAAAAAAGGTAGATCTGATTGTTTTTATCCGTTTCAGAGAGCGGGGTGTTTGTAGATCTGTGAGACGGGATTCTGCTGAGGCACAAATCTGGGAAAGGATACTTCTGTTACTTTGTGGAAATTGGAAACATGAACACTCCAGTATTTTGGCCTTTACTGCCCAGATTGGAGCTATTTTCTCATTAAAGGGGATATGAAAGTCCTTTAAAAGGCTGCCAAAAAAGCACCAGAGTGACTTTTTAGACCATAAGATACAAAAATCATCTGATCTGGCGAAAGAAGCTTGAACTTTTTGGGCACGACTCCTGTGGAAAGTCCTCGAGAAGGAAGCCGACCACCCACTGACTAATGCCATCCATCCCTGCAGCCGCGTTGCACAGCGGAGACGTTTTGTATTTTTACACGAACTCGCGAATCGTTTTCGGGGTCAAGACGATGACGGACGAAGATAAATAACAAGCCGAAGCGAAAATCTGTTTCAGAGTCATCGGAAGCAAAAAAAAAAAAAAAAAAAACTGGCGTCATGTCTTAACGTTTTAATAAGATTTCAACTTGAAGCAGAAAGTCCAGAACGAAATCAAAGAAGCGTCTACAAACAAACAGGAAGGACTGGACCCAGTGGAGGATTTGAAAGGGATCTACATCCTAGCAATCCAACATGGTTTGATTTAATCATTAAAAAGAACGAGGGGGAGGGAAATCTTTTACAGGAAAGGCGTGCAAAGCTTTCTGGATGAATCTCTGTGAAGAAAACGGGACGCCAAAGGTGCATTTTATCAGTATTAAATTATCAGTTTAGATCAGAAGTTCACATGAACTCATCACAGTCATGATCGTTTCAGAGTTTTTCAAAGATTTAGTTTACAAATGAACAACGACTTGGTGAACTAGTTTGAATTACTTGTCGACTTTCTGTACTCCACACACGCCTCCATCAGCAAGTCATCAGCCATCAATCTTCTGACATAACTCAAAGTTTGGAGCGCCTGTCTGAACCTTTCAGTCTCACCAGGTTAAGCATTTCCAGGAAGAAGAAAACTGAGCCGAAGCTTTAAGCTGAGCTGAAGGCTGCAGCTAAACCCACAGAAAACCCTCATCATTTCTTGAAAAATTCTTTACAATCATGCGAGACGGCGACTCTGCTGTTTGGCCGTAGCGATAACAGTTACAGCTGGAAGAGGCTCTCCACCTAAGCATGGTGGTGGTGGTGTCATGCTGAGGTTTCGTCTCTCCTTCGGTGGCATTGGTGGATTTCATGAGAACTTCTTTCAAATACTTTTACAGCTATTCGGTTTGTGCTTGGACACAGTTGTGTGTCGTAACAGAACATTGACCCCAACCTCACATCAAACCTGCTTTTGAAATGAATAATTTAGTCTAATGTCAAACTTCAGCCTCCATCTGGTTTAAAGATTTCAAAACGACGCCTTAAAGCGTGAGTACATGGATTAAACCAACACGAACTCCACCAAGAAAAACAAACATCCAGCTGTCGCTGATGGCTGTGGAAAGGCTGTAGTTACTATGTAACTAAATATTAGTGAGGGTGTGTGTATAGGTAATATTCTGAGTTGTAAATCACATTATAATGTTATTCCCTCATCAAAAACATACGCACAGCGCCTCTCCCCCATCCAGCTCCTCCAAACTAGCGGCAGCAGCAATTAGCAAACAACTGGTGGAAATGTGCAACTGCTGAGCTCGTCATATGAACTGCAGCTCAGCTCAACACCTTTTAAAAATGGCTGTTAAAGGCTCAATAGAGAAGCACTGATGTGACGAAATCGTGGTGTCGGAAAGAGAAGTAGCTTCTTAAAGAGACGGGGGGCCCAATTTCAAGATGTCACATTGCAAATCAAAATTTCTTTTAAGACTTGCTTGTTATGTGAAGGTAACATATTTACTTGATTGTGCTATAAAGTGATACAATGCCCCTGGAAAACACATAAACCTACAGTAGTCTGGCCTTTGTCTGACGGTCAGTAAATGAATAATCGCGTTGTATCCATCTGTTCTCAGGTGATTATGCCTTCATGGGCTCTCTGATTATCAAGGAGGTGGTGAAGGAGCTGCTGACTAAAGGTCTGGACAAAGCCAAGGTTCTGCTCCTGGCAGGCAGCAGGTCAGTCCACCAGAGGCCCGTTTTATTTTTCCCTCCATGCTGCAGTTTCTCCCTCTGAGCACTCTCTCTGGGTGTCCCCAGTGCGGGCGGTACCGGCGTCCTGCTGAACGTGGACCGCGTCGCCGAGCAGCTGCAGGCGGCGAGCCACAGGGGGGTGCAGGTCAGGGGCCTGGTCGACTCCGGGTGGTTCCTGGACAACAAACAGTACAAGGCCACCGACTGCCTGGACACCGTCAGCTGCGCCCCCACCGAGGCCATAAAGAGAGGCGTCAGGTCAGCGATGGAGTTGTAGCAGAGAGGAGATGGCGACGCATCAAAGCGGTGGTAACTTCGTTTGTGTTGGGGGTTTTTTGCAGGTACTGGGGTGGACTGGTACCAGAGAGCTGCAGGCAGGCTCACGTAGAGGAGGAGTGGAGCTGCTTCTTTGGGTATAAAGTCTACCCGACGCTGAAAAGTGAGTCGCAACACAAACCCCCGAACCTCTCCGTAAAACACAGTCTGACCCCTGGTCCGTACCGCGCAGGCCCGGTGTTCATGGTCCAGTGGCTGTTTGACGAGGCTCAGCTGACCGTGGATAACATCCACCTGACCGGGCAGCCTCTTCACGAGGCCCAGTGGAGGTACATCCAGAACCTGGGTCAGGAGCTGAGGAGCACGCTGCGAGACGTACCGTAAGAGCTGCACACGCTCCGCGCAGGCAGAAACTGGCCGAATGCGGAGAAGGTTTCTAACGGGCTGCTGTGTTTCTGATTGGCAGAGCCACGTTTGCTCCAGCCTGTCTGTCTCACGAACTCATCACCAGGACGTAAGTAAGAACGTCGTCATTTTCATCGTTCCGCCCTTTTTGAGCGACGCCACTACTATTTTAGTAATCAGTTGTTATGACAATTAATCGATTAATCGGATAAAAGAAATTGCTACAGATTTTTCTTTTAATCGCTTAAGCCTATTTTATGCAATATTAGGAATACATTAAAAGACCCAAATAAACAATAAAAAAATTTAATTATGAAAGTAAACATTTTATTGCCTAAAATGCAATAACATAGCATTCTTTTAGTGAGTTTGTACTAAAACTAACACTAGAGGGTTAAACATATTTAAAGACAAAGTTATCTTTATCTTAAATATAATATGTGCAGATACTTTAAACAGTTTTGGCTTAATTACAGCTTTTAATATGTTGTTCTTATCAAATTAACCGTTTTTGAGTGTATACTCTGACGATGAATCGATTATTAAATTAGTTGATGATTATTTCAATCGATTAATCGTTTCAGCCCTAAATGCAACTGCTAGCACTGACAGCAGCTAGGCCTTTAGCATGATGCTGCCACCACCATGCTTGACAGTCGGTGTTCTTTGGCATGAAAAGCTCGCCTGCTTTCCTCCACACATTTTTCTGGCTACTGCAGACGACCTACGACTCGACCCGACTAGGCTGGGAAAGGGGGTGTAGTTGGGGGGTAGTTCTCCTAAACGTTGAAAACCCCTGGTTTAAGTCTTTTCTTTTGTCTCGTGCAGGCACTGGATGGACATTCAGGTGAAAGGCACGTCCCTGCCCAGAGCGCTCCACTGCTGGGACCGGAGCCTCCAGAGCACCAACAGCAGCCACGGCCTGAAGAAGCACCGGACCCCCCCGTCGAGGGGATGCCCCCTTCATCTGGTGGACAGCTGCCCCTGGCCGCACTGCAACCCGTCCTGCCCGACCATCAGAGACCAGCTGACGGGACAGGAGATGAGCGTGGTCCAGTTCCTCAAGCACATGGGCTTCGACGTGCAGAAGATGGCCCAGCAGCAGGGAATGGACGCCAAGAGGCTACTGGGCATGCTCAGTAATGGAAGCTGAGCTGCCTGGTCGTAGCTAAACGAGCGCAGTTGTAGTTGTTGGAGGCCAGTCTTTATAAGCACATGAATGAAATAAGAACCTCTTCTTACTTTGATGTCTTGGTGACAAACTGAACAATGTGAACATTCATAAGTGCCTTGTTTATTTTGAAGACGTGTAAGTCGCGTACAACCAAACCAGAAAGTTTGAGCTGTTGGGAAGCTTCACATGGGATCAGCGTAGATACACTCCAACTCAGAGGAGGCGGCTACAGCGAGCGTAACGCAGGAGCGTCTCAATGTAAAAGTTAATTTATTTCAGTAATCCAAAGAATGAAACTCATTCCACACATTCGTTAGTCAGTGATGGATTGCAAGTGTTTCCTTCTTTCCCGTTTCCTTTTGCATGAACTACTGCATCAATGCGGCGCAGCATGTAGGAGGTTCTAACGGAGGGTCAGGTTGCTTTAACAACCCATTCATCTCCGTCTCGACATTACATAGATTCTCTAGGAGGTTAAAGGTCAGGGGAGTTTGCTGGCCAATCAAGAACAGGAACAGCATGGTCACTGGTCCAGCTTTTGGTGCCGCTGGCAGTTTGGACAGGCGCCAAGTTCTGCTGGAAAATGAAATCAGCATCTCCATAAAGACCGAGCAGAAGGAAGCATGAAATGCCCCAAGACTTCCTGGCAGAGGCTGCGTTGACTCTTGACTTCAGCAGGTTTCTGCAGGTTTCACCAACCCAAAATTAAGACTTTTTAAGACCACTTTGACTTAGATTTAAGACCTGTCAGGAGAGAAAATAGAATAAATTGTATGCGTTTGCAACAGAAGTGAACCAATGGGTAAGATGAACTTCGTCCAGCCAACTGGTGATAAATTTGCACTGAGCCACGTTGGACGTTAAAAAGTTAGCTAGCTTTAGCAGCTAGTTACCGCTTGCTGCAACCGCCTCGAGTCACAGAACGCGGTGACCATGTCTGCATACAATTCAGCTTTGGGTAACGGTAAATTACTGAGAAAACAGAAAACTACACAGAACAAATATTCCTTTCACAACATACAACTAACGTATTTGAGACCAACTTTTTTTTTTTCAAATTAATTTGAAAACTTTTAAGGCCTTATTTATAGAAACATGAATTGAAGACATTTTGAGGATGAACAGACCCTCTGTTTCACAATCCTAACAAGCTGCACTTCTCTCTGTCGTTCTCTTCTTACTTCCACAGCTTTTCCTTCCGATAAACTTTCCAATAATATGTTTGTGCCAGCTTCTTTAGCACTGACCTCTTTGGTTTCCTTGTAGAGCATGAATGTCTGCTGCAAAACTGGCCATAACATAAAATATATTTCTGTATTGAAAATATGTTTTATTGATCTCATGTTCCATTCAGATTTTCTGAGAAATTGATCTTGGGTTTTCAATATCTGTGAGCCACAATCGGGAAAACTAACAGAAACGAATGCTGGAAATGCACCACTCTCTACAGAAGATGAGTTTCACTCTTTGAAAAGAAATACTGCAGTAAAAGAAACATTTTATTAATTGGGAGACACCAGTATATGCAATAACCTGAACTTCACGCCCTCATGTAGAGGTAAAACGACAATGACAGCAGCCTGAGGGGTTCCAACGGGAAACCACCGGACTGGAAACCATTCCCAGTTTGACGTGGACGTTCCCAGTATGCTGTGGTCAAGGGGAACGAGGCGGGCCAGAAATGACGCCGATTCCTCTGCTCACTAAATATGCTGCTTTTTCTCCATGTGAAACAAAAAATAATTTTATGGGAATTATTTACTAATAAAAACAAAATGTAACTCTGTTCTTGTGCCTACAGTTCACTGTACTATTTATTTTTTTTATTGCTCAAAATCTGGGACATTTCTGTATTAAGTCTACTTTTTATTTGCATGTTTGTAATAAATACTTGTATGCTTGTGGGTCCATTACTGTTTGTTTTGTTAAAGAAAGGTATTTTCATAAACTGTATTCTGCTCACCTTTTTAAGCAAAAATAAATACAGATACACAGCGATGTAATAAAACGTCATTTACTTACAAAAGCAGAGTGAAAATTTCACCGTAAAAAGAAAATAAAAATTATTTACACCAACACACCCAGAAAACCCAAAGTTTACCAATGGCACACTAATGACATATTTGGATGAGGAACAGAAAATAGTTCACAGTTGGTAGAAAAAGTGCTTCTTTAAAAGGAGATGAAATCTAAATATTTCTGCTTTATTAAATACAAAATTATCTGGATGTTGAACAGTTAGTTAAAAAGAAGTCCTTAAGTATGACACACAAAGTCTGTCGTGTCTGCACCTTATTAGGAAGTAACGATGTGCAGATAAAGCATCAAAAACTTTTATCTATAAAATGTTTTCTTTGTTTTTCTTTTTTCACCAGTGGTTTCGTGCTGCTAGTTTTCTCCATATAAAAAGCCGAATCGATCTTCCGCCGCTGCGTGAAGTTCATCACGTCTTTGCGTTTTGTCCCAGTTACAACCCCAGTGGCTGAAGATTCATTCCTCAGACAATTGAGGAAGTTCATCTTCCAGAAGCTCAGCGGAGCTCAACATCCAGAGTCCTGCAGCTGCGAAAAACAGGGAAAGTGAGCAGAATCAGAGGAGCAGCAGGAAGCTCATTTCTGCATTCAGCAGGAGGCGCGATAACAATTGTAGGGGTAATTTATGTTGCTGTGCACAAACTGGTCAGGAGCTGATAAACCCAGCTGCACTACTCTACCACTCACAGCTGAACGTGCAGCAAGGCTGAACGGAGGGTGGTGAAAACATAAGGAAAAATTTCTCTCAGATCTTAAAGTGACAGCATCACAACACAGGTTTAATGACACGGTATTTGTGAAGTATTTAGTTATTGTCATTCTATGCTATGTACTGCAATGCATGCTGGCCAAAAATAATTAACAGCCTCATGTTTGCAGTGCTGTGTGAGCCATCAGATCAGAGCTGTCAGATTAAATCCACCTGTCCAGATTAATGTTGTTCAGAAGAAACGCGCTTTCCCTAAAGTCTGTAACAGAGCTGATTCAAATCAGACTCGCAAATAATCCCAGATTATTACACTTCCCATGTTTTTAGGAACCACCAACATTTATCCTGGGAAAACTCTGAGATCATTTTCAGCAGGCTTTTATTTTTCTCCCATCCTGTCAACTAATTAGGGACGATTCAAGGAAATCAAATCTTCAGGGATCCATAGTCGAAATGTGCCCAACAGCAGCAACAGGATCCACAGACTGACCTGGCTTGTGAGATTCCTCGCTGGGGTCCGTTTGCGCTCGTGGACAGACTGAAGCCGAGTAATTAGGAACTTTTTGTCTTCTCCCTCCTGCACAGAGTAATGAAAGAAAACGGGGAGCATGAGTGAGTCTGGACCGTTCACTGTCTTACTAGTTAACTGGACTGAGAACAGAGGTGTGTGTGTGTGTGTGTGTGTGTGTCCGGGCAAAGCGCTTACATTTTCTATCTGCTCCTGCAGTAAAGCGATGATCTTCCTTTGGCCGTCCACCACCTGACTCTGGAAGTAAATGACTATCCTGGGAAAAAAAGACAGAAAGTCAAAAACATGCAGAGTGTAATTAGACAACCTGCATAATTACAGTGTGTTTAAATGTAAGTTTAAACAGTATATTCTGTTCGCCTGCATCATCCTGCTATGGTGTGGTTCTTAAATGAGTGTGTGTGTGTGTGTGTGTGTGTGTGTGTGTGTGTGAGAACTCACAGAAAGATGGCTGCTCCCACAAACAGGAAAAGGGGATTTTCCACCAAATAGGTGTGAGCATCAGCCAGAAAGGACAAGCTGCGGTTTTCGTCAACCAGCTCAGCAATCCTTTGTTTCCCCGCCTGGATCATGGTTTTGTTCCCACGGAAAGGACCGCATGACCCTGAGGATGGGAGCCTGTAGGCAGAACAAAAAGGCAAAAAAAAATAAATAAATAAAATAATTCAACGACTACATGCATTTCTATTTTTCTGAATTCACAGAAACAACAGTCTCTTTTGAGATTGTTGTTTTACAAAGGTTGTTTTCACTAAAAGTGACTGGATTGAAACTGCAATCGTTGTTGCCCAAGAGTTTATCACAATTTTTGTTTTGTGTTTATTTCCCTGCATTTTTGCAGGTTGTCCAAAAATATCCCTACTTCAAGCTCAGATTCTCTTTTACCATCACTTGTGACATGCTGCTCCATATGTCTGGGAAATCCATGGTCCATCACCAAATTGCTCCTAAATTGTTGGACATTTTTGATTTAGGGTTTTTCTTTTAGGAATCCTCTTTAGGACCCAGATGTGAGACTTGCTGGACTTTCTCCAAGGCAACTGGACCTCTCTCCTTGAGGTTTTAAATAATGGCCGATTACGGTAACATTTTACTAGCACCAGTTTCTCTGCATAAGAAGAAGAATTTTAGGAATTTTAAAGCAAACATTTTGCTCCTCTAACTGAGGGCTAACCTTAAAAACACTGAAGTGCTGCTCAGAGGTCATTCTGTGGCAACTACTCGCTTTTTAAACGATTTCCACACCTGGAAGTTTTACTAAAATCAGTAGGAACTGCAACGTCAGTCCCTATTCTGTGTTTCATTGGTGAGCACTGATAGATAACACGGTGCGGGGCGGCAATAGAGACGGCCGCATCTCGAGTCGTGTCGCGGTACCTCCACATGGTGTACGTGACGCACACGGAGGAACCGAGGAAGGAGGGGAAGCACAGGAGGGTGATGAAGATGGTGGTCATCTGGCTGACTCTGTAGGGCCGGCTGGGGGCCTGGCAGTTCATCATCACGCTGCTCTGTGGGAAGGAAAGACACAAACGCAGATGGTCAGAGGGGTCAGAGGTCACCTGGAAAACCTGAGAGCCGAGTGTGTGAGAAGCATGGATGTTGTGCAACACGACTAATGATTGTGTGAGTAATCTATAGATCTGCTATTCTGACGATTAATCGATGGCTAAACTAAGTTGATGGCCATTTCAATAATCGATTAATCACGATTAATCGTTTCAGCCGTAGAGTCAAACCAAACAAATGTGAAAGGTAATAAAGTTGTAACTGAGTAGAGTTTGATACCATCTTAATGTAGAAGAGCAGCAGCAGTTTGAGGATCTGCACAGCAGGCAGGAGGGGAGTGAAGAGAAGACCCAACCTGGAGAGAAGAAAACGGACCACCGTCACAGCACTCTGTGTGTGTTTATATATGTGTGTGTTTATGCTAGCAACACGGTCGGTACCAGGCCAACGTCTGTCCGTAGATGAGGTCCAGGACGTTCTTGGCGATATCAAACCCCGGTCTTCTGTTTCGCTTGAGCACTTTGTCAGAGAATAACCTGCAGAGAAGCAAGGAGAGGCGTTGCTAATGTGAAGTTAGCCAGCGCCACCTAGTGGCAGCGCTGAAAACTGCCACCAGGTTAAGCTGCTTACTCTGTTTTTGGCTTCAGTTTGTCGTAATTAAAAACAACAAATGCAACAGATAACATTATGTTGGCTTGTAATAGTCAATATTATATTCAGGGCTTCAGCTACCTATTTTTTTTTTTTTTGTTTTTAAGTTATCGATCATCTATTCTAATAAACAAATTGCCACATTCTGCAGCTTTTTCATCCAAGCCTTTTATCCAATATTAGAAATAAACTAATAATTTAGTTCCTTTTTTATTTTAAATAAGAAAACAAACATTATTTAGCCCAGAATGTAAGAATGTATCGTTCATTTGATTAATGCTTGATCATGTGCAGCAAAGGATTCTGGTAACAACACTGTGCAATCATACTGTGATCAACAATTAGTTAATTTTCTTTATTTTATTTTATTTTATTTTTACATGAATCTGGTTAGCTTCATGTGCTAACCAGCTCATGTCGCTCTACAACATTAGAAACTCTCTGCTCTCCTAATTGATGAGATTAACTTTCTTAAATCACGGTTTCTTCTGGCAGGTTGTGTTACTAAAACATTAACTTGTTCGTATGACCTTCAGCGTTTTGGACAATTTGCCGCCCAGCGCCAGCACTAAGGAGGAGAACACCTCCACCCTCCGAGTGCAACTCTAATAAAATATTCAGCAGGAGGCTTTTGGATTATAAAGGTTCCTGGAATCCGGTGTGCTTTCAAAAGCAGCACTAAGAACATTCAGCTGTTGACGATCGACCCACCTCCAAAGCAGCTCTCCAAACAGGGTATCCAGCAGAGAGAAGATGAAGTCGATGACTAGGAAGCGGTAAAGATCCTGACCAACAAAACTCTCCCAGCACTTGAATGTCTACGTAACAGAAATCACGCAGGATAAGCAACGCACTGAAGAAGAAGAAACACAAGGATCGTCCTTCTCGAAAGCCGCTCCGATAAAGTTACCTTGTCATCGTTGGCGCTGCCAGCCACCCGTTTCAACCAATGGAAGCAGAGGACTCCAAGCACGCTCACTTTTAATATCAAGTTCCTATAAAACACAGACGGATCCAGAGATGCCTCAGGTTCTCTCAGCACTGAAACAGTTGAGACGCGATTCGACAAGAATCCCACCGCTGCTCTTACCGACTGAGTGAAACAAACGTGCGCAGAGATGGAGAGTTGTACTTCTCCATCCAGGCTGTGAGCTGGAAGAGGATCGGCAGCATCAAGTTGATGAAGGAGACGAGGACAGGCAGAGCCAAGAGGCTGGCTTCGTTTAGTAACCCTGGATCCTCGGAGTCATTTTCCGAACTTTCCTGCTGATTTTTGTAGAGAGGCAGATAAGATGGAGAAAGTTACGACGAGGTATTTGCCTCACTGTCATTCAGACGCACAGTTTCGTCTGTTGAAAAAGTTTTACACGACCGTTTACAGATTTTAATTATTAGTTTTGATTACAGGTCACAGCTAATGTGACGCACAGTGTCCATATTTTCACCTTTTGTTACGCTGCAGCCACCAACGTCAATGCATGTTAAGCGCCAGACTAACACAAAGCTGTGGAAGGAGGGAAGGTAAATGATGCATGTTTTAGGTGAAATGAGACCAAAACTGGACTTTTTGGCAGCAGGTGTAGTGGCAAACTGGGATTTCACACCATGACGGTGGCAGCATTATGCTGTGGGGATGCTTTTCTTCAGCAGGGACAAGAAAGATGGTCAGAGTTGAGAGGAAGTTGGATGGAGCTAAAGATAACTAGGCTTCTTTTTGCCTCCCAACTTTGAATAAATCTACCACAGAAGTTCCTGTTTGGACATTTCTTTTGTACCACAAACCCACGATGCATCAAGTGACTATTTGAGTAACACTATTTGAGCGGCATGTTTAGTTTAATTACTCTTAAGGTCTCTTTTTGGTTTTTATGGACAAATAGTCACTAAACATGTGAAGCTACGATTGTGATATAATGTCCTGGTGAAAGTCTGGATTTAAATCAAAGTCCAGCTTGCAATAAAAATTAACAGTTTGAGCTATTCTAGATGAAAAAGATGACAGAGATAAACACCAAAACAGTAGTGAAAGATTGTAGTGAAAGATCTTCTACAAATGATTTAGACTCTCCAGATTTTTGTTTATAAACAAACTACAAAAGCAAGCTTTATCGACTTTACAGTCGTGCTCCGTTTTGTGTTTGTCATGTAAAACCTTCATAAAACACACACACAATGTCAAAGTTAACTTCTGTATGTCAGGCTAATTAAATTGTCAATTAAATTGTGAAAATATTTAAATATATCCTTCATCCAACCGCCTGGGGGACAGTATCAATAAAACAGTGAATAACGATAATCATCGGTTTGTGCGATTGATTTGCCTACATAACAAAAGTGGCACAGTGAAACAAAAACATCCTGTGTCCAAAAACAAAAAACAAAAAGCAAAAAGCAAATCCACTCAGCCTTACTTTTTTGTGCATATAATCTGAGAAGCAGTAAATCCCGGCCACGCATCCAGCGGTAGCCCCAAGGCAGAGTGTCCAGCTGAGGCCATGAATCAGCAGTTTGATCAACTTGTCTAAGATCGTATTCCTGACGAGCCTGTGATGTGTGTCTCCCAGCAGCTCCTGCAGGGAGACGAAGTCGGGAGTGGTGAAATGCCAACATCCAAAACAAAGCAAGAAAAGGAAACTGTGACGGAGGCTGTGGAAGAATGTGCCGGATCATCACACTCCCTTTAAGCGACAGCGCAGGAAGGGAGGACGGAGAAGGAGGTGATTTTGTAAACGAAGCGAGTCTGCGTGTACCTTGAGCTGGGTGCAGATGTTTTCAGACAGCAGCTTGACCGAGCTTCTCTTGATGACCTTAAAGTCCCACGAGCAGAAGACCTTCATGGCCAACATGCCGTTGGACTTGTCGATCCTGAAGCTCTGACCAAACGACTTTGACATGCTGTCGGGAAGATAAAATGCAAATATTTCAGTCTCTGTGTTAATTTAAAAGATAAATTCCCGATATTTCGTTCAGAAAACCTCACCTGTACACAAGGATGATGCATGTAATGAAGAAGGACAGTCCGATTGTGAAGAAATATGCAAGCGGCATATTGTAGGACAGGGACCTTGAGTCGCACTCCGGTCTGGTGGAGTTGTTCTTCGGACAGTTCGGCAGCGTGTGGTTACTGTAGTATCCGTAGTACAGCAGGGTGTTGGAGAAGTAGCCCTGAGGCAGAACAAATGGGATTCAGACAGAACCTTTCAAGCTTCATTTTTTTACTCTGTACTCTGTAAACTAAAGTAAAAAAAAAAAAAATCTAACTGTAAAAACATGGCTTGGCATATTTCAAAAATAAAAAAAAAGGACATAAGTGGTTTTATTTATGTACATAAATGGATTTAACTGGAAATATTTCCACTGGCTCTCATAGGAGATTTCTGATCAACACAGGAAATTTTACAATTTGATGAGACAACCATGCAAAAACGTACCGGTACTCCATCAACCTCTCATGCACCGCATTCCTCCATAGTGATAACATTTTTAAGTGAAGGAAGACGGAGAGCAAAGTCCAGCGTTTTAAAGAAGCAGTGCGAGTAATTACAATCGAGCAGGAAAAACTGTAGCAGTCACGGGAAGACAAAAACTGGAAGACGGTCTTGTTGACATTAGATCAGGACTAATTATGCCTAATTAAGTCGCTTAAACGCAGCTAAAATATTACATCTCTACCACTGGTGCAAAGTTATGGATTACTCAACAATCTTCTGCATTTATAAAAACACTGTCTTTATTTTATTTTCATATTATGCCTCTCTGTAATGTGCTGTTTTTCCTAAGGTGTCTTAGATATTCACCTTTTTTGCACCACAGTGGTTTTAGTGTAACCAAGACTGGTGGTAACAAAACACTCAAACCCAGCCATTCACATTAAGCACCGACATATTACGCTGCTTACCATCAAATCCATTAAGGAAACAAAAACCAGCTGACCTCGGTGAAAATTTTAGTCAAATTAGCTCGAGAGTCAACGCAGTCGTAAGCTAAGTATTCACTGATTTGAACGGGAAATGTCAGAGGATTTTACAGCATTTATGTACCAAAATATTTTATAGATCCAGCTCCAGTTGTACATTTTCAACCTATTTTAGGTTTTAAAGAGACGCGGCACCCCGCTTGGTGCCTGCCGAATCCTTTCAGACACGTTAAACGAGCCGTCAGTGCTACAAATCCTCAACTCATCTCGACAATATCAATTACGTGTCAGGGTGGAACCTCTGGGAAATAATCAGCTTGCTTAACGAGGAGGTCTGCACTGTTGAAGCTATTAATAAGTTTGTTAGTTGCAGCTGTCTGTGAGTCTACAAAAGGACCTAAAGCGAGCGAACCAACAAAAGGTTTGGCGAATGGCTCCTTCGAGCTGCTTACCCCTCCGGTGAGGAGCTCCAGTCCAGTGAAGGGCGTTCTGCTTTCAGGCAGCTCTGGGAGGTACACCGCCTGCGGAAACACCAAGAACGAACCCAAGACCAGAAAAAGGAACACGTTGAAGAAGAGGAGAGTCTTGAGGAACAGGAAGTAGGAGAGGACCCCGGAGCCGAAGCGCCCGCCGACTCTCTTGAGCGGCATTTGCCACAGCTGCAGGGAGTGCAGGAAGGACAGACAGCTGTACCAGCTGTGCCTCAGGGCCTGGAAGGAGATGGAGAAACGGAGGCAAGTTAGAGTCAATGTGGAGTTTTACGAAGGAGTACGTGTGCTTGTGGTTTTGTGGGTCAAAGCTCACAACTGCAGCAGAGCAACTGAGCTGGGCTGACGGCAGCACCTACAGGAAACACCCACTGATGGCAAACCGAGATAAATCATTTAAATATGATGGAAAAATTCACATGTTTTCCTGTTTTCAGAGCATTTCTTTACACACTGTGTGTAGAAGGTTGGAGAATATTTTTAAAATCTATTATGCATCATCTTAATACATTTGCTTAACAGTGACAATGCTGCAACTCAGTAAAATCTCATTAGTGCTTTTATCCTGATGTAGTTCACTGATAAAACCTGAGTAGTAGGTTGTCCAGTGTTTTATACACAGCAGATTATGCAGGACTTCACAATTATTCAGCATGCTGGTTGTTTGTGTACTGGACATCTGCCTTGATTTTCCCTTTTGCTGTTGCTATCAAATGCAGGATTAATCGTAATGCATACAAATGCCAAGAAAACTCAATAAAGAGTCGCCTTGTTATGCAGATAATTTCTTATTTGAAAACAATCATAACGAACAAATAAGGCTGCTGGAGCCGCAACTCATTTCATGACCTGATAGTGAGAGCTGTGCTTTCGCCACTGAATGTTCAAAGCGAATCTTCCCCTGTAGGAGTGAACAGCACAGTTTCTGCAGCAGGATCTTGCACAACACACACTTATTAAAAGGCCACGTACAGCACACACTGTTCAGACAGCAGTTTAGGACATCAATTATGGATATATCAATAGTGTGCGTTACTAATATGAGCCTCTTCCTTGAGAGGGGTTGAGCTGTGAAAGTTTGCTGCTGAAAATAAGCCTCTGGCCAGCGTGCAAAACACTACATGTAATGGAAAATTACCATTCCACACCCATCACCCGCCATTCTTCAGAATGGACAGGAAACTAGCTGGGAAACAGTGCAACAGAAGTGCAACAGTACAATGACCCCAAACACGGTCAGAGCTGTGATGAAACAATAACTCAGTGCATGTTTGTATGTTAAAACGGTTCAGTCAAAGTCCAGATTTAAATCCGAATGAATGAGAATCTTTGGAAAGAGACGAAAGCTGAAGCTCACGTGTGAGCACCGTCCATTTTGCAAAGACGAAGGGGCAAAAATGTAAGTATCTAGAAGGACAAAGATGGCAGAAACACTCACTGGTCACACGCGCACGCACATATACGCACACACACAAATTGGAGGGAAATGTACCCTAAACTTTTCAGACCATTTCCTTTTCATAAGTGCAAATGCCTTTCGGTTGGTCCACCAAGTCAAAATCCAAAGGAATATAGTTTAGTTTGTTGAAGTAAATTGAAAAAATGTGAAGTAAAATTGGTATGAATACTTTTGCAAGGTGCTGTATGTATGTCACCGTGTATACATTGAGGTTATATCTAACAAATGAGGCGAGAAACAATGTAACAAATCTTATTTTTAATAAGGTTACTTACTAAAATGATTTGAAATTTCAGATAACTGCAACAGGGAAGATTACTGCTGGAACGTGTTCGCTTAGTCATTTCCAACGTCAACCTCCTGGTGAGAGACAGAGGCGAAAATTATACAGATTTATCAGCAAGGTAATGGAGCGATAAAAGCAAAAATAATAATAATAATAATGTACCTGAGGTCTTTTTTCTCAGACAAATTCAGAGGCATTTCTTTGAGCATCCTCATTCGGTCAACCGCCGACAAGTCCTGCAGGTTTTTGACCAGTCGCTCCTGCTTCTTCTCTGCAACACATCCAGCAGGGCCGTTTTACACGTTACGCTTCGTTTCTGGAAAACGGTTTATTCAGGGAAGACGTTTCTGCACCTGCCGAGTCTGTAGTGTCCACCTCCACGCCGTAGCCTCGGATGCTGGGCCTGGCGGAGCGAGAGAAGTCTTTGATGGACGCCCTTTTCTGCGTGCGTCTCCGAAGCTCAGTGGTCCTGTTGTAGTACTGAGAGATGATGGCTCCCCGGCTGCGGCCTGGAGGACGAAAATGATCCGGTTGGTCAGCGTGTGGTATAATTCATCATCACGTTTCAACAAAAGGCATCTTACATTTGCAACAACATAAAAAAAATAATAATAATTCTGGTCTGAGCTGTGATCAACTTTCCATTTGGTTCACACATTTCTAGGGATGTTTATCTAAGTAAGAAGGGAAGCAACAGTGTGAACCGAGAAAGTCTGACTTCTCCTACGTGTTAAATTAAGCTGGTCTTGCTCCTCCAGAGGGACAGCGAGTCGTTTCCATGACAGCCGAGAGAAATCTCCCCCATAACTCTGGGGCTATTCAAAGTCCATTTCCCATTGGTGCATGTCAGAAAGACGTCTCCAGGGAAACACCCAGAGCTCAAACTGCCTTAGCCGAGTTGTTCTCATACAGAGGAACAACGCATCAACTCAAAACATTAGATTATTAATAAAACATGTATTTATTTCAGTAACTATATTCCATAAGTGAAACATTTCATAGATGATTTGCACAGACTGACGTTATCAAACCTTTATGATGACTTTCAGTGTACAGATCATGAAAGAAAACCACATTTAGGATACATGTAGAATATTAAGTGAGACCAAAGAAAAATAACTAATACTACTGAAAATAATTGATTGATAAATTGATAAAAAGTAAAAGAGCTCCTTTTATTCTGACAAATTAGTCTAATTGGTTCGAATATTCTAATGAGATGTTCTTGAACGTCCTGAGATGACTGAGCTCTAAAACTCAGGTCAAACTCCAGTTTTCTTCTACTTTCCAATCCAGATAGTAAAACTGATCAGTTTTATGTCAAGATGCAAATCATTTCTCAGTTATATTTGATCAGGCCGATAAAAAAAAATATATATATATTTTTGATACAGAAATGTCTAACCTGCAGTAGCTGTCTGAGGCAGGAATCCCTGAATCAATACGGCACATGAGGTTGCTTTGACTTTGAATAACAATGGTCAAGATGATCAGAAATTATTAAAATATAAATTTAACAAATCTGCATTTCATAATCTAAGGTTAACTCCTTGAAATCAATGACTGAAACTGGAATAGATGATCAATTACTTAGATGAGGCTGTAGAATACACATAAAAAAAAGTCGGAGGAACCAAACGAAACGATCACAAGATAAATTGTAACATGTGACACAAAGAGATCATCTTGTTGGTTTTGGACACAAACCGACATATCTATCAAACCATTTCTGAAAACACGCAGCAGCACCACCTGACCTTCCTCAGATAGGAAGGCAAACTGCTTCCTTGTGAAACTCTGCTCAGTTGCGACACATCCGTTTCTTTTCTTAAATCTATATCCTGTGGCACCAGCGATGGCAGCCTGAGTAGAAACTCTCATCACTGACTGGGCCGGGCGACACAAAGTACTTCTTAATGTATGCTTACAAACCACAGCCACATACAATAAAAATAAACACACACAGTCATTATATCCTTAACAGGTTTCACCATGCTGAGGGTGGGCGTGGTGGTCTTACATTTAAATGCTGTTGAGGAGACACATTTTCAGTGAAGTTATTTAAAATCAGCGACGAACTGAGAACAGTCTCTTCTCAGTTTGTCAGGGGAACTAAAACACTGCCGTCACTCCAAACTTATGCAACCCGTACTGACCGATAGTGCGGCTCGGCATGGAGGAGAGGATCTTCAGGGTGGCTGAAGACCAGCGATCCTTGAGGAGAGAGTCCGTTTGTGTTTCATTGTCCTCTTCTGCAGCTTCATCGCTTCCTATCCTCCATCCCCGATTCTCAGAGGGTGACAAATACGCCACATTGTCTGTCAGAGTGGACAACACACACCCATGCACACAATCAACATATCGCTACGCAACGCTGAGAAAAGAAGACTTTTGATTTTAAAAGAGCAAATATATCAAATAGTATTAGTCAGAATGAAGAAATCTGTCAGGGTAATCGCAAGTAGAAAAATAACCGATAACTGCATTTCCTTTAATTTCCTTCTCATTTCGCACGAACAATCTCCAATGGAGTACCTCGGCCCTCGTCGTCGTCTGGGTTCCCCTGCAGATGCTGCAGCTCGATGGCATCAGACAGTCCCTCGTTCTGACTCTGTTCTGCAATCAGCTGGCTGAACGAATCATGAACCACGTTCTCGTCTGCTGGGCTTCTACCAGAGAAACACAAGGATTAAAAAAACAACAAAAAAAGGAAAATACATTGTGTACTGAAAATTTCAGTACACAATGGTGGGGTCCTTTGAAAACAGGAAGGAAGTAAAAATACTGCAGATAAAATACAACGAATCAGAAACCCAGTGGGTGGAAAACGCAATGATTTCAGTGTTGAGTGTTTATGTGGTCCTCCTTCTGGATGTGCTGATCAGAAATTATTAAAATATAAATTTAACAAATCTGCATTTCATAATCCAAGGTTATGAACAGGGTCGTCTGTTGTTCCATTTGTTGCCAAAAAAAGGCCCAAAGGACAGCAAGTCCATTTCCATTGAAGTCCATTGTTTTTTCTCTCTACACAGAGACCGTAAGGAGGAAACGCATTCAAGCATGACTTTGTGAAAACTGCACTTCTTCCAGGAGCGGACAATGAACTAGATGTCGACAACAGATCACTAGGAGAGAGTTCAATTTTACATTTCCTCGTATCTTTTCCTTCTCCCAGGCATTTTGATTGAGACACACTCCCTCAGCAGGCAGTGTGAATGAACAAGACCCAACATAAGAAACCAAAGGGGAAAAAAAAAAAAAAAGAACAATGATTAGGCTTACTCCAGTCCAGCTTCCACTGCGGGGTGACTCAGATCAAAGTTTACATTTTGAGCCATTCTTCTTCTCTCAGCTCCTCGATCTCAAGAGCGGTCACACCCTCACTTGACCGGATCTGCCCTCCACCCCGAGCATGGCGTTCAGTTCTTCCTAACCTGTAGGAGGAGGAAAAATGTTAAGAGGAGGATGTGTGCTTAAAGTACGCATGAGTAAAAAAAAAAAAAAAAAAATGCCAACAGTTTTCTTTTCACTCCGGCGCTTCGGTCGTGTCTCGGCTCGTCCTCAACTGGTTTTACCAACACAAAGACACAAACAGAAAAAAACTGACTTCACGCCAACCACCTTTGGTGTCTCTACATCTTTGTGGAACAGAAGTAACAAAAGTAAATGTGTCACCACTTAAAAGTATTCACTGATTTAAAGCTGTAAATATCTTTATTTTTTTTGTCCCTGCTGCCCATATTCAGAGTCCTCTGTGATAAGAATGACGATTATGACTCATGTTTTCGTCTCGTCATGACGGACTACGTCACTTTGTCCGGACCTATAACAGATCTATTGTGTGTGGCTGAGAACGGCAGTCGCCACCACAGAAGTGAATATTTATGAGAGAACGATGACGGCCAACTGGAAAGAGTTTCTTTTGTGGGACGTTTGGACCGAACAAGCCGCTCTGCTGTAAATCTGGCTTTGTTTAGGTGTTACAGCGCCATTAACGGTTTCATCAAACATCCAGAGAGAATATGCCCCGTTGCTTAAATGCATCGCAGATGTGAACTTGCGCATTCGTGAGGAATTTAAGATTCAAGAGAACCGAGGCCAGACGTGAATTAACGATCAATAAAAACTTCCTTACAAGAACCATCATCAAAAGATGCTTTCGAGAAGGAGGGGGGGGGGGGGAGTGTTTGTACAGACAACAGGTCCAAATAACTGAGGACTAACACTCAACGTTACAACAACGTTTTGGTCTTTATAAAGACTGTTGATGGCAGTAAGTATGCTGGACTGGATTTTATTTTGGGGAACTGGAGTAAAGGGGGGTTAATGCAAATGCATCTCTAAAATAAGTAGAAATAAAAACAAGATGTAATTTACCTTCCATTTCACAATCAAATGCTTTGTGTTAGTCTACGACTTAACCTGCTGTAAAATGCAGTTAGAGCTGGTCGACTAGCTTCTTAATAAAGGAGTTTTGGGAGTCTGGTGTTTAGTTTGAAAACAAATGAACATCAGAGTTCATATCTAGATTCTGTAGCATTTACCTTACTTATTACTAATCTGACTTGGTATACTAAGATGTTGCAGACAAAAATTGAGGTAGTAACTTTCCCGTTTTAAACTAATGTTGGTGTGTTCTGACACCAGTTTTCACCAGACGGAGTATTCCAGTTTAGGTACTTTCTGATTCAGAGTAGTTAACAAGTTGGAACTTATACTTTCACACGATAACTTTTGAAAGTAAATACGTTTTATTTGGAATAGTGTGGCTCCTCTTCCTTTTAAAAAGATGTCATCAACAAGTTTTTCTTCCGAGGCAGAAGAAAAACTTGTTGATGACACCTTCTTAAGAGATTGTTAATGACACCTTCTTTTTAAGAAGAGACTGTATTAAGTTATAAATAGAGTGTGACATACAGATTGATCAGTCTTCGAATGCACCATCACATTATTCGTTAACGGATGCCGTTTTCGCTAGATTTTTAGATGTATATATTTAGACCAAATCCAAAAAGAAGTTCAGGCCGGCTCCACAGAGGAGCTGCGTCTCAAAGGTGTGTTTTGCACAGCTGAATGGTCGACGTGCGAGATTGAAAGATTTCTCAAACATGCATGAAAGAATTAAGGCAACACTCTGTGTTGCCTATGTATTTTGATGTGGGGAAACAACATATAAGATAATGTAAAGCTAAATAAAAGCCAATATTACATAATACTGCCCTTTTGATAAGCCTGTGACGCATACACAGAGAAAGACAAATGACTTTGCATGAAAATGTTGTGTCTAGTTCCACTTTTTCAAGAAAAGGAACAAGTAGGAAGGAAAGTCAGGTGCAGATTTTCATTAGGCTGTTACAAGTGCAGAATAAATAAATGTGCATGCAGCTACACCCTGCTCCGCTCCTATCAATCACACATCCCAGGTAAAAACAGAGTTATGCTCATTACTGTACCCTACTTGGTGGTTGTCTAATAATAAATAAAAGCTTAATGAAAATAATATGTTGGACTTCACTAAACTAAAGCCATTCAATCATACCAACACCAATCCACACTTGATTTAATCTGTCAACAATTAGCGATTAACACGTAAATAGAGAACAGCTAACCTTGGTGGAAAATAAAAACTATAGATATGTGCATCATAATCACGTGAATTTGCAAAGATTTTTTTTTCTTCTAAAGAAGACGGCGAGTTTTGTTTTCTCATGTCTTTATTTTGTGAAAACCACATTAGAGGAGTATAAATCTCCTCCATAAATCTGCAGATCTATGATTCTGTTTAACATAAAACACGTGTTTTATTTCCTTCGATTACTGAAGTAGTATAATGTTGAACTGAAACAAGATAAATTGACTTCAGTAAAAATTAAGAAGCACTAATCATGAAACAACAAGATGAGCTGCATGTTCCTCAACTGAGCCAGTAGTTTTGAATCCAACAGGGAAAAAGGGATTAGTAGATTATCACTATCTGTGCATGAAAGATATGCTCCAATCTATTATCATGTCACTCGAAACATTTATGTCTCCCCCTCGCCTGAAGTGTAATAAAAACAGAACCTTAACCATCAAAACTGAACGTACCGAGTTGTGGGCAAAGAAACACAAAGAGAACCAGGTGTAAAAAAGAAGAATGAATGTGAATGAGTTCATGTTGGAAGTGTCGGTTTAGTTTTGGTGGTGAATTATGATAATAAACTAGTTCAATTATAATCTGTGTAAACTGCAGAACTTAAGACTGGCTATTGTTGAATGTATTATCCGTAATGGAGCTGACTAATCCGAGTTTAAAATTTATCAGCTTTTGAAGAGCCGGTCTATCTGCTGCCTTTCAGGACGTTCCGTTATGCTGATGCATTGAATGCCTCATCCACTTCCTGTTTACGTGAACTAGCAACAGAGAGCACAGCAGGTTTTCTCTGCAGATTTCACCACTTCACGTCATACTTTTTGATTTAAGACCAATATCTCCACAGAAATGTACAAACTTCATCCAGTAAACTGGTGGTAAATTTGCACTTATCTATAATAGACGAAAAAAAAAAAAAAAAAAAAAAAAAAAGTTGGTTTAAAAAAGGACTATTAGCGGCTTATTAGCGGTAGGCTCAATCGTCTGGGTGGAACTCAATATTTCGCCTGACAGAAAAATCCTGCGAGAAAAAAATATACATGGAATAAACAAGATTAAATAGTCCTGTCAAGACAAAACTTAAAACATGTGACTGACGTGCTCTTAAAGCATCCAACTCACTTTTTAAAATTAATTTAAGAAGCTTCATGTGCAATTTTAGACACATGAGTTTAAGACCTTTCATCGGACATCTTGCAACTGTTCCAGATTCACTGAGTCTTACAAACAATTTATTTTCTAAATAAAAACATCTAGTCCAGAAAAGTTGTATCAGGTGTACACAGCTTTTAGCAAAAACAAAAAACAGAATAATTACTGGAGCTAGACTTTTTGTCATTGTGGCTGAAAATATGGGTAACACTTTATTTGAAGGGGGCTGAATAAGACTGTCATGACACTTTCATAAATATGACATAACACCTGTCATGAACATGAATAAGCCTTCATGAATATTTATGACTGTTGTCATAAAGCGTCATTTGGTAAATTATGACACTTTTAATACAAAGTTGACATTATTCAAAATGTCTTTGTTATGACAACTTGACATTAACCAAGAAATCATTACTGTTCAAACTTTACCTTTAATAACATAAAGTTACCTAATTTTTAAAGTGCAGTCAGTAATAATTTTACAACAAATTTATATCAGTAATGATTTCTTGGTTAATGTCAAGTTGTCGTAACAAAGACATTTTGAATAATGTCAACTTTGTATTAAAAGTGTCATAATTTACCGAATGACGCTTTATGACAACAGTCATAAATATTCACGAAGGCTTATTGATGTTCATGACAGGTGTTATGCCATGTTTATGAAAGTGACATGACAGTCTTATTCACTCCCCTTCAAATAAAGTGTTACCAAAATATGAACTGTTCTACATACTATTCTGTTCGCAGTCAAAATATCTGGGTGTCGGGGTGGGGCGGGGGGGATCTGCTATAAAGAAGAGAGATTTTAACTTTCAGCATTTCTGTCCTGTCACGGTCTAGTCAAAGCTCAGAGCTACATTCAAAAAAACATTTCGGTCACTTAACGAGGGGTAGGGTGCAAACAAACGTCCTCACAATCTCATAGATTTAGAGAAGTCTTGCAAAGCAGAGTGAGTAAATACTCAGGTCAAGATGTGACCTGTACATTGAACTCAACACTAAGACAGCTAATGCAAACAGCCTTTTAAAGTGTCCAATCACAGGTTGCTATATATAAAAGGTAACTTGCCCTGTCATAAAAACAACATGCACACAGCGCTCAGCTGTGTGAGATAAGACAAAGACCCAGACACTTTTCTCAAGGTGAAGGTACTGCTGGTTGAGTCCTCAGTAAATAAAGTTCACACATCGCACATGGAGCTCTTAATATCCCCCAGGAATATAAACAAACAGTTTGAAAATGTCCTTCTGAAACTTGGTTTTCTCTCACGTAAAGTCCCGTTACACAAGCTACAGCCAACAGATTTTCCTTGTTATTCTCTCACAAACAGGCTTTTTCCCATTACCAGACTTTTCTAGGATCATGTTGCACTTTTTTTTTTTTTTTTTTGGCCATACTCCGAGCGTTTTCTGTGCAGCTCAAGACATAAACAGTCCTCTTGAGACCCTTCGGTTAGAGGCGGATACTGTGGGAGTGGGACACAGCGCATGACCAATGAGTCAAAGTTGAGCTCTTGTCCTGCCAAATTAAATATACTTGAAACAAAGAGAGGAGTGGTCGACCACTAATCCAGCCTGATTAGAGTTCAGGCTGGATTCAGACAAAGATGACGAAAAAGAAAAACTCGTGTTGCAAAACATCGATTTGAGTGGATTAATGTAGACATCCAAGGCTAAAGATCAATCAATCCCTTGGTATGTTTATTATCCAGAACAGAAACCAAAACGAATTTAGTCAGCAGCATGGGGCTAAAGAAAAGGAAGGAGTTTGAAGTCATCTGTCCTGCAAACTCTGACCGCTTTAAAGCTGATTGCCTTTCTAGCCGTCTTTAGCTTTAAGGCAATCTCACAGTTCTTAGAAAAGGTACTAACAGATTCAGCTGTGATTTAAAGCAAGGAGGGAAGAGCGGACAAAACAACGAAACGTGTCAAAACTTAGACTAACGTGCAGCCTCTAAACTCCAAGAATTCAATTTAGAAATTCACGACTTTCCTAGACTGATATTTGTAGAGTTGCTACCTAAACGTTGAGGAATTAATTTTGATTGAAAATGGCTCTTAGGACACAGAAGTTGAATATTGTCTTTTTCTATTATTTTGACAAACAAAGCCCCATCATGGGGCATTTCTACCAAAGTGGTTCTGCTGCTAAAGCAGAGCTCATTTTTCACTTTTTGTGGATAATCAGTGTTTAATTACACAACACATATTCTTATTTATCTCAGTATCTTCACAAACAGAAGCCCTACTATCCCCAGATTTATTTTTAAGTGCTATTTTTAGCAATAAGTTGTGCTTTTGTTGTGCTTCACTATCACAGTCAAAGGATCTGCAGCTCTGCTGGAGAACAGGAGTTAAAAGCACAAAATCCCCTGGCAGCATCAAAAGACAGACGCTGTTAAAGAACCGAGTCGGAAATTATGTTTGTGAATTTCAGGAAATATCTGTGAGCTCAGCTCTCTACGCAGCACAGTAATCTACTTAAGCTTCGGGAGAAGTAATATCACAACCTGAAGATGAGAAAGAGAGAGCTGTTGCTATGCTTACGCTAATGTCTTCAGCTTAGCACTGGAACCAGTTTAACAGAAGAGGAGACGGATACCGGCATCACCAGCAGTAAGTAACCTGATCAGTGCACGTTAGTACATTTTTTTTTCAATGTCACATGCTGCTTTTATTTTAATTATGTGAAGCACTTTGAAATGCCTTGCTGCTGAAATGTGCTATACAAATAAAATTTGATTGATTTTGATTGATTGATTGCTGCCATTTATTAAAAGCTTCAATATCTACAGACTAAAACTCTACTTAGCAGTTGTCTTGAGATCTTGGATCAGAACATTTTATATGTTACAGATTGAAAGCCGAGCAACATAAAGACCCAAGAGTGTCAGGATTTAAAACAAGCATGCATATGACACAGGTAAAAGGTATTTTAATGATCTTCTTTCTCAACATACTTTCATGCTGCAACATCTGAAGTCAAGTACACACAGCTCAATGGGATTATCATTCTATTACAGTAAAAAGCAGATGCTCAAAAAAAGCCAATTCTAAACAGTTAAACAGTTATCCATCTAGCCCGCTGATGTTGATCACCCTAACCCAGCATCTGTTGACAATTACCAAAACAACAATGTTTTTCCAACATTGCAGGAATCCAGTTACAGTTTAACTTCATACTGAACTCTGTTCCAGACCTATAATTGCCCTCACTCAGAGTAGGGGATTCTAAATTATAGGTTTGCCGTCGAGTCTTTTAGAGATACTGAACTGAATGGAACAAAAAAGTTCCTGTTGTAAACAGAGACAGAAGAAGAACTCTGACCCCAGGGCAGAACAAAGCTACCTGCCATCACAGAAACAGGAAAACTCTCCGATCAGATTGTGAATCTGAAACCTCCTCCGCCTAATCAGCTCCAAGCTCCGGGCAACAACAAAGGACAGTCTCCCCCATCCTCACCACTTATAACACCGACTCTCCTCTGAGTCCTGCCTGTTAAAAATGTCCACTCGCCTAAACTTTAACTGACGAACAGCGGCGGAGAACGAGACAACTACTTTTAGAGTCTTCGGTAACCTGACACAGTTTTAAATAACAAAATAATTGGATTTTAAACGTGAAAGAGTAAAGAGGTGGTCAAATAAAGCACAGTTAAACCGAGACAGTGTTTAACTTACCCACCAGCTAACTTGACAGGCAGTTCAACCGACCCACCAGAGGGACTGTCAGTCAAAACTGCAGTATTGTGCCAGCAGCGGGGAGGAACCATTAACGAATTGCCTTTTAACATTAAAACAAAACCGATACAGGTTTGACATTGGTTTAAAACCAAGTCTATTTGTTTAAATATCCAATGTAGACTTCGAGGAGTTTCAAGTTATTTTTTTTGTCTGTATCCTATTTTGTTAGGTTATCGACTTAATGTAAAGGCGACCCCCGCAGAGCAGGCGCGGATGGTTCAGTCCTACTCAGACTCGCCGGTCTTACACACAAATACCAACGGAGGCTGAAAGTAGCTTTTCAAACGTGGAAGAACAGCAGCGACCTGCAAGCGATAAGTCTTTCACATAATATGAAATGACTCGGGACGGAGTTGTATGGGACAGAGCTGGATTTTGTCCCGTCTTCCTGTTAAGAACATCCCCACCCTGAACAGGTTCCAGTAAACAATCTTGGAGAGGGGCCAAGTTCGCGCATAGCTACGATAATATGTTTTTGGGAACACACCGAGCTCAAACATTATGCTTTTGGCATCAGATTGAACCCTGCCACATCAAACGAATTATATATATATATATATATATATATATATATATATATATATATATATATATATATATATAAAAGTTACTTCTTTTAAATTAATTAAAAAATAAAAAAAATCAAATTAGACCATGGACGGCTCAGCAAAGCTGTCCTTATATAGCAGACAGTGTGTTTTTGCTGAAGTGACCCACTTTTTCCACCCTAATTACTGTTGAGCCCTTAATTGTGATATTTCCAAACCAGGCAGTGATCATTTTAAAATGAAAACAGGTGACCCAAATGACACTCCTAATGTATCAGTACCTGATGTCTGTGCTTGAAAAATGTCTAAACAAACAGAAAGAAGAGCATAATTATGTGAGTAAAATTGATAAATGATTTTAATTTGAATCTGAAAAGTATGGGATGAATATATGCGTTCAACCCACCAAAGTCAGAACTTCCCGTTGTAGCTCACCTGGCTCAATGATTAAGTAGGGTTATTAATGGTGATGGGCAGATTCATTTAACCAACTTTTAATCAGTGTGGATCAAATTTCTAGATTTATTGTTGTGTTTTGCTGAAGAAGTTGTTTTTTGCACACAAAAAGGTACTTGACCAGCATATCTTTTCCACACACCAATCTGAGGTTTCCTGTTTTTTATTTTTGCTTCTAAGTGTAAAGATATGCAAATACTTCCGTTGCCAACTCTCCGCTTCCTCTCCAAGTACTTTGAACAAAAGCTCAACAACTTCTCCTCTCTCTGTTTCCATTCTTTGTCTCAAAGCCAAACTCTAACATCCCTTTGTTTCTGGCCAAAGCAGAGTGTGTCTTTGGCAGTTTCAGTAGAATGGAAACCAATCATGTGGAAACAGCAGCTTAGAAATGACGTTGATACGATTTAAGAATGTATTGACTGGAAACCTCAAATGTCTTTGTGGTCTCCTGAGAGTGGGTGTAAAACGTCTTTGTGTTTCATCACCTCCTTTTTTTCCCCCATCTCTCACTGGCTACGTGAACAGCTTCCCTGAGAGGAGGCAGTGATGTCGACCTATATGGCCTAACAGGCTTGTGATCTACTTTTCTAATTAGCAAAAGTGGAAACTACGACAAGACGGAGCTGGAACTTATGCTAAAAAATTCAGTTTAAGACAAATTACTACTAACTTTTTGTTAGATTTAAACGACACATCAGAGTCAGTCATGAGTCAAGATGTTTCATCTCATTCCTTCCCTAAATATCTCTGTGCTTTTTGCCTCCCACCCCAGTGTGTTTGTGCATTTCTTCTCGACAGGCAGGAAGCCCTGTCATGTGACTTCCTGCGATCTGTCAAAACTTCAGCCTCAGTTTGGACCAATTTTACACCTGCTCCACCTTGAGAAACAGAAGCGGTCCCAGCAGTGCGAGACAGAGCCGGTCAGCTGTTCAGAAACACTTCTGCATGGCGTCTGCTGCGAGGCGTGAAGCGGGGCGTTTTGATGCAGGACTCGGAAGTGACTTTTCACTTTTTTGAAACTTTGAGTTGCAGCTCGAGCAGAGAAGTCGACGGTATGTGTTGCTTTTGAGGACGGACAGCTTAGTTTGCAATTAAAGAGGAAGTGCGTTGGGAGGGACAATGGAGGGCCAGAAAACGGTGAACTTCACGAGACTGTTGTCAGGTAAGAAACATCTCAATTTTTCAACTCGGTGTGTGTGTGTGTGAGACAAAGTGAGATAAGAGAGCTTGTATTTTCTACAGATGTGTGTAAGGCGATCAGAACTATTAGCTCGCAGGCATAAAGTTCACAGGAAGCCTGTGTTTTGCGCTGTTTCATGAAACAGGTTTATGTGCTTGGCTCTCTGAGGAGCTGGTTAGTCTGTGTTTAGTTATTTTCAAAACTAGACTTTTAAGTCGCAACCTAAAGTCACCTCTTCTCCTTTTAATGAGAACATGGCTGAAGATGATGGAGATGTGCTGGACTTTGACTCCTTTCTTTTTTAGTTGTTCAGATGTAGGTTTCCTGCTGAGCCTCTGATCATTGCTCTGGGATTCAGCTATTATTGGACAGACTGACTTGCACTTAAGCAAATAATCTCAGGAAATTACCCTGAATTATGTTGTTAAACTATCTCAGATTAGTGCATTTGCAGAGACGGGTTTCTGTTTTGCGTGAATTCAACGTACATTGTGCCGATTTGCTTTTTGCTGTCCGAACAGACGAAAGCGTCCAGTCCACCCTGTCGTCAGACTCATGTGAGTACTACCAGACAGAGATATTTGACCTGCTGCCCAGTGTCCAGGCTGTCCGGTCCCAGCAGGACAGCTATGATATGCTGAAAAGCAGCGAGGCCTTCAGGTCGGGTGGCCCGCGACCCGACGAGGCCTTCGGCGCTGAGAGCCAGTCAAGAGGACCCAGAGACAAGCTGTCGCTGCAGCCACTGCGAGACCTGCCCATTTGTATGCAGGGGAAGAGGAGCGCAAGGTGGGAACATTTATGAACATATATATTTAAAACTGTAGTCTGTTTTCTAAAAGTGGAACTGCTAAAGTAAAATAAGGGGTCACAGCTTGCACTTGATTCAAATATTATTAGTTGTTGGTGCTAAAAAAAAAAAAAAAAAGATTTCTTCAAAGTAGAACAAAGTTACTGTTTTTTGGAAAAATATATCTTCTGTTTTTAGTTCAGTGCTGTCAGACTATGGATAACCACTTTCTAAACAAACTTTGGTGAGAATCTTGAAGCTGAAGTGACCGCTGTAGTTCTGGACGTATTCCTGCTGTTGAGTAAATTTCAGACGGCAACAGTTCGGGATGGGCAGGATTTCGTAACTGTGGTCAGAGCACCATGTTTGAATAATGTTAACTTTTTCAGAGCGTCGCTTCAACTTTCTTCAAATTCTGCGGTTTGCAGACATTTATGATCGTATTTAATACAAACACAAACTGCTTGAGCTTCCTGGAAAGGCCAGGCTCAGCTTGAAGGATGAGTTGAGAGGTTCTGTCATCCAGGAGGATGACAGAGTTAATTTACTTAAACTGAAAAGTTTTAATCTCAGTGAGATTCAGTTTAATGTTACACATATTTCAAGTTTAACTTTGTGTCCTTTAATGTTTGGATGTGTGACATATTAAGTATGTAAAAAATATACATTTGCTGTTAATTAGGGAAAGGAGGAAAATGCAGATCAGCAACATTGGTTTCTGGGAGTCATGGAGGCGGAGCCAGAGCATCAACAGGAAGAGGGTCTGGGCTCACATGAGGGAGGCGGGAGCCAGCTTGTTGCCTTGGAAACACACACTCCACAAAATTCAAGGTAACAGAAACTTTGAAGACCCGCGTTTCTTTATTGCACCTTTTGATCCTGTTTTTTTTTTTTTCCCCCGTTGATTTTCAGGGAGGTTTGGCGTCGGAGTGAAGTCCTACTTTGTGTTCCTCAGATATCTGATCTACTTGAACCTGCTGCACTGTGCTCTGATCAGCGGCTTCATCCTGGGGCCCACAGGGTTTTATGGCAAAAACAGCAGAGGTATGGTTGTATCTAACTCACCTCTGGTATAACGTATAAAGCAGAAATGCGGTTGAGACATATGTGGAGTTAAATCTCGGTTATTTCACAGAATGGTTGCGATTTGGCGGAGACGACTCTGTGTTAGACTTCCTCGTGGGAACGGTAGGAGTCATTATTCTGTACATGAATGCTGATTGTTTTAGACGTGAAGAAAAGCCACGTTGTTATATTTTAGCTTAAAACAATGAAAGAGGCTGTAGGCCACGCATGAGCACATCTTCTGCTTCTTTTAAACCAGGGACTTCTGGCTCGTTCGCCTGTTTTCTTTGGCTTCTACACCAGAGGCTCTCTGGACCACGACTGTCTGAACACACCCCTGCTTTACCTGGCTGGGATCCTCTGCATCATCTTCCTCAGTCTCATCATGGTTGTCCGCAGGTCAGTAAACCACAGCAATGCTGCAGAAACATCAATCACCCTCGGTTTACATGGGATCTCAAAAATGTGCCTGTTAAAATGCCAGGCTTTAAAAATGAAACCCCAGAAACTCATTTTAAAGCTTTTTCCTCACAAACCTTCAGACATTTAATCCTTGGTTTGCACGTTTTGTTTTTTTTCCTCCCCTTGCAGAACAATCGTTGGCTACAAGCACACCTGGATGCTCGAGAAGCGAACCAGCATGAACGTGAGCTTTAAGGTCTTTTGTGGCTGGGACTACACCATCCAGCATTCAAAGTCTGCAGAGCTCAAGCAGAGCTTCATCAGGAACGACCTCAAGGTGAGTGAAGGAGGAGACACACCTGCAGGTAACAACTTCCTGTTCGGCCATGCTCACAGCAGCCAACCTGATGCTAGAAAACAAAATGGTTTGAAACAGCAACGGCGTGAAACTCTTCTGTGAGCCGAGTGTTGGAAAGCTGAGACGTGTCTGGCCAGAATGCAACCATTTCAATACTCCTGATGGGAATCTTTTTACGGAGGCGTGTGATGTTTCACACAGATCCAAAATACATAGAAAACTAAGAAATTCAGGAGCTGGTTAGTAACGCAGCTTAATAGTATTAAAAAAACAAAAAAACAAAACGATGCCTGTCAAAGTGCCAAAAAAAAACAAACAAACAAGGTACAGCTCTATATACAACTGTCCAAAATACTTTAGACCGTTGATTGTTTCAAATAAGTATGGTCTGAATATTTTTATTTTTCTGTTATTTTGAAACTTGGATCCCTCTTTCATTCTCAGTTAAATTAGCTCTGACTTGTCTTTCTTTCTATTGTCATTTTTGTTCTGTTGTGTTGTCGTCGTCTTTATATATGACTTGACCGAACGTGTCACTCGGGAGACCTTTGAACCACTTAAAGCTGCAATATGTAACTTTCATTAAAAAAATACTTCTTCATACGTCCTGACAGCATGACAAGAGCCAGATGATCTATGGAAACATGTAGCTTCTCCACCTCTTCCCAGTGTTACCATTTCCATTTGTCAGGAACAACCAATCAGAAGCAGGAGGAGCGTCTTGTGTATCGTCTGCTTAATGTGCTAATGGCGGAGAAACAAAACTTTATCCACCGTCATCAGTGGCCACGCTAACTAGCCTGAGCATCCACAACAAGCTCTGTTGATGAGAAAGGGGAGAGGGTGCGAGCGGTGCATACACAGGTATGATTGATAGCTCTAAGACCCTCCTCCTGGTTCTGACTGGTTGTTTCAGAGAGATAGCAGCAGTAGCGCTGGTAGGAGGTGGAAGACTCAGATTATCTGTTTCATACCATCAGGGCATAATGATATGTAGAAAACATATTTTTTAAAATTTACTGCAGCTTTAAAAAAACAAAAAACACACGCATTGCAAGAGGCAAACAGCTTATTTATCTCCTGATTTTGTACCTCAGGCCTCACTAGGAAAGTATTTCTTCCGCTTATCTCCAAAACAAATTAAAATGACGTTTATAGGTGTGATCTTTGTTACTATATAAAAATCACTTAAAAGGAAGTTACTCTTGTGCATCTTGTTGACCTACACCAAATATTGATCTAGACATTTGTGCTGCAAAAAAAAAAAAAAAATTAAAAATCTGTTTGGCAGCTCTTCCTGGAGGAGAGGAAGTTCAACTTGAAAAAGGCTCAAAGGACTCTGGGACAAAAGCTGCGCCTCTACCTGCTGAGGTTCATCCTCAACCTGATTGTTGTCTTTCTGCTCGGTGGAGCTTTTACCCTCATCTACTACTCCACAAACGTATCCCTTAAAGAGGTAAGGATTTCATCCTGAAGTTTTGTATTTCTGCAGCAAATACATGAATAAATATTGTTTGAAAAAAATGGCTAATGTCTGTTTTTCATAGTCGAACCAAGTGTGGATTCTCAGGCTGATTCTTCAGTATCTTTCTCCCATCACCATCACCTCTGTGGACCTAGTTCTCCCTCAGATATTCCGCAAGATCTCATCTTTCGAGGACTACTCACTAACCGTTCAAGTGAATGCAACACTTGTGAGGTGAGAGGCAGACGGAGGCAAACGCCTTGTAAAGGTTACACACACACACGTGGCCACAAGGGTTCACCGTGTCTTTTTATTCAGGAGTATCTTCTTGAAGCTGGCTTCCCTGGGGATCTACTTATTTTTCCTCTTCAAAACAACATCAGTAGAAAATGTAAGTGAAAGTGAAAGGAGCAGGTTCATATTTTACCTTCATAAAACCAACCTGATCTGAGTTACTCTGTTAAAACTTGGCAATGATTTAAAGATGTAGAATTTATTAGCATAGATTATGAGCGCGGACTCCGGTTTGACTTCGGTTTTGCTTGAACTACGGGAACTTTTTTTTAAAAAAATTCTCCTTTTGACTTTTTTTTTTTCTTTCTTTGTTGTGTGTTTTCTTTGCAGCGTATGTGCAGGGAAAACCAGATTGGCATTCAGATGTACAAACTGTGCATCTTCAACTTCCTCACCACTTTCTGCAACACTTTTTTGGTGAACTACCCCAGGAAGTGGGTTTGCTTGACATCACTCAGTTTCTTTCATAGTCATTGTGATGATTTCTACAGAAAGCCCCCCCCTGCCCGATGTTGTTTTTTTTTTTTTTTTTTTTTTTAACCAAGCTGATGAACGTGCTTGTGTTCCTGCTGTTTGGCAGGCTTTTGCAGGAGAAGCGCCCAACATGCTTGCTGGTCCGGCTGTGCGGGAGGCAGCGGTTCCTGATCCCGTTCAAAGTTCTGGATCTGGTCTACATCCAAACTGTGTTCTGGGTTGGGGTGTATTACTGCCCCCTGCTGCCTATGATCGGAGTAGTCAGCCTGCTGGTGATATTCTACATCCAAAAGGTAGCAGACCGAAACAAGAGATTTGCATGATCAAATAAATTGATCAGGCATAACATTATGACCAGGGTGAGGACCCTGATTGGTTTGCGGTTATGCGACTTTGCATTCAATAAACTCGGGTGCATTTTCTATCTCATAAACAGTACAAACCTCTTTACAATTTTTTTTATCCGCAGGTGTTGCTGCTGCTCAACACATCCCACCCACTAGCAGGATTCTGCCACGAGTAGATAATCACCACCTGCCGGTGGTCGTAATGTTATGCCTGACTAATGCATCCCACTTGTGTTGTTAATTTTCCTAATGTAACTTTTTAAAAATCTAACTAATGAAACCAGAAGACTGGACGGCAGGCAAACGTATATTTTTAATTTAAGATGTTTCTAGTTCCTTCATCGCCTCCTAAAGTAGACCGTTTGTTACAAAGCTAGCAACCAGTTAGCTTAGCATTGTTAGCTTAAATTACAGTGTGCCTGGTACAAAATAAACTCTTAGTTTTATAAATATGATATTCGAATCTACTAAGACATGAGTCCTTGTGTTCGCAGCTGTTGTTTCTTGGACGATGTCCTCCATTTGGATACCAGTCTGAAAAATTATAGGAAAATATTCATCCTAATAACGGCGATAAATATTACCACAGGCGCTTTCCTAAACATTTGGCATAAAGAAAAAATCTAAATTGTACTTTTTGTAATTGATTGCAACTTTTTGATCGGTGAAGTGGGAATAAAACTCAAATCTCCTTGCGTTTCTTCAGTTTGGTGTCCTGCGGTGCTGTGAGGCGGAGCAGCGGATGTTCCGAGCCTCCAGCTCGTCGGTTTTATTCCACTTCATGCTCCTGCTGGGCCTCGTCATGGCTGCAGCCGCGCCGATCGTTGACTTCCACCTGGCTGAGAGAACAAACACGTACACACTGTTCCATTACTCTCTCAGTATTTACAATATGACACTACATGTCTCAGGAACAGCTTTCTATCTAAAATTGCTCAAATTCTGTGTGTTTGTGTGTTTTTTTTTTTTTTTTATTAACCTTTTTTGATACATATTTTTCTCTCCATTTCCTGCTTCAGGATCTCCTGTGGTCCGCTTAAAAATGAAACTGTGCTCACCGTGACAGAAACCTGCGTGAAAAGTCTTCCCGACTCAGTCCAGAACGTTCTCAAGTACTTGTCCTCACAAGCCTTTGCCCTGCCTCTCCTGCTGGGTGAGATGTAAGTTACATTCGGCGCCATCTTTTATCACAAAGAGGAATGCAGCTTTACCTGTTTGAAGAACAAGTTACTGCCAACAGGTGGTACCAGAACATGCTGAACATCGCTCTTCATGTTTTATCATGTTACAAACTTCAGTGGAAGCGACTTCAGAAGTACTGATTCAAAATTGCTGAATAGCAATAACGGTTTCCAGATTTTTATTTGTACAACAAAAAACCTGAAAACTGTGCTTCCCCTTTCTTCCGCTTTACGTGCGATGATCCACTTTGTGTTGCTACGTCACATAAAATCCCAATAAAATCCATTGAAGTCTATTTGGAAGAGGTATGAATAGTTTCGCAAGCTACCATGCGTGTTGTGTGGTTGCTGTCCATCAACTCTGCGTTGATCTGATTGGAACCACTGGAGATCAGATGTGATGTGAAATGAAAACGTAACATTTTGTGTCCTCAGCATCATCCTGACATCGTACGTGTCACGAGGACGCGCCAACCGGAAGGCAATCGAAAGGCTTAAAGATATGCTGATTATGGTAAGCTTCCAAATCATTTTTAACTCTGATAATTGTTTGATTGTTATAGCATCCCATTGTGAAATGTTCAGAGTTTCTATCCAGTCTCAAAAAGTGGGGGACATTTCACAGGATTCCATTTTAATCCTGTTCAATGTCAGGATTAGCATGACGCAAAGAAAGCTGAGTAATTGTGGGGAACATTCGGCTCATTTTTGTGAAAGAAGGAAACATTCGTTTACTTTGGTTCTCATCACCTGATGAGCTTCTGTCCTGTTTGTGTTAATGCTACGTGTGTATTCTTGCTGTTGTCCTCCCACAGTGCAGCTCGGATAAACGCTTCCTGGTGAAGCAGCATGCCACCTTACTGAGAGGTCCCAAGAACCCAAACAGAGTCCGTCCTGCTGCTGTGGAACAGAAACGGCCCCTCCACGGCGCTCCCTGATGCTCCCAGTTTACTCTCATCTGGAAATGATGGAAAACAAGAAGGCATATGTTGAATTATTCACAAAGGAGCAGAGTGACCTATTGAAACTTGTGACCCAATTCTGTAAAAAGACATTTTCAGATTATTCTTGCAAGCCTTTTATACGCCTGTGATAAAGCTAACAGTGCGCAGACTGCTGGAAGGCCTTTTATCAGTGTTGATATTGATGACATGCACATTAACCTCTCTATATGGAAAATAGAGCTTGGTAGTATTCCTAAATGTTAATTTAATATTATTCAAGAGGCTGTAAATGTTTTTATTTGTGTGTCTATTAAACTTTTTTGCACTAATTCCGTGTTTTCCAGGCTCTTTGTATGCCGTCATAGCAAAACGTCCCCTCTGTTACGTTATCTACACACAACATATGTGTCCCAGCACCATGCCTTACACATGCACATGCAATGAGACGTACATGCAGAAAGGACCATGCCAAAGACACATTCATAGTCTTGTTATGAAGAACCTACTCGCTTTATGTTTACTGCCAATTCTGGGTGAGTAATTTGGGAGTTATTAAGATCTGAATGGTTTATTTTCTGGGCTGATATTCCTCCTGTCTCGTGTTGTTGATTTGGTTTTTGGTTTTTTGTTTTTAGCTCTTGCAAGTTTGCCTGTTACGATAGGTAAGTGTGATTGTTCAGATATGCAGCAGCGTTTACTGTCAACCAGTGAAAACTCTTCAGACACTTTGGTGCACTTTATAAACGGTGTGGCAGAAAAAAAAAGTTTCAGGAGGACACATTTGAATGTTTCTATGGTGAACTGGAAAAATGGGTGAAACTGGTGTTTTAAAGGGATTTATGAGAAAATATTCAGTCAAATTTGGATTACAGACTTTCTGAGTTCACTTTGGCTTGCTGATTATCAACAAAAAACAAAATCTAATTATAGGTGTGAGACAGAAAACACAGGGTAAGTAACCGGCAGCAACGTTTAACAGTGTATGTAGCAAGGATGACAAAATCCAACCAACTCACCTGCTACAATTTGATATAATGGAAGATTCAATGCCTTCAGTGCTTAATCTGTGCTGTGAAGGATTAAGGTTTAGTTGCCAATCCAGTACTAGCATATAATAAAGTGGCAGTTGAGCTTAAATCCATAAAGGGATCAAATAAAAACAAGAAGGGAAATTGTTTCTTCCTGATGAAAGTACAGCAATCCCTGCACAGAGAGACGAGAACCGACTTTAAAATACGAAACCAAATTCAAGACGCATGAAAGATCAAAGGTCGAATACACAAATTCAAGATAAAATCCTAAAACATTAAAACTTTAATGCCATGACGCCTGTAATCAACTCTCTCGGATTGTCAGCAGCAGTTTTCTGCATATTTTGATACAATGTGATCATAAATGCATGCTTTCTTTGGATGGTTACCATTACTAATCCAAGAAAATGTGATTTCAAGAACAGTTGTCCTTCTTTTACTGCCGTGAGTCTGCCAATTTCAACTTGACCCTTCCACTAGTTTGTCATAAAGATTTTTGAGGACATATACACATTAGTACATTCTTTACAATAAGTTTGGCTTGGATCTCCAGGTGAGCCAGGTTCTCTCCGTCCGGTGCTGTCCGGCCCTGACAGAGCCTACCTCAACACCAGGGCGGTCTTCCGCTGTTTTGCCCCCGGCTTGTCCTCTCGGGTCGCCTACAGGCTGATAAAGGATCGTGTCCCACTCGCCACAGAAGTCAGCCAAAAAGGGAGCCAACCTGCAGTGTTTCCCCTGAAAGTCAAAGCAGCTTCAGGCGGCTCGTATCGGTGCAGGGCGTTTGCTGAAAGAAAATCAGGATTCAGCAACGGGATCAAACTGACTGTAGTCAGTAAGTATTGGACTTGTCTGGGTTCCCAAGCTTCACACTCAGTCTAATGCTCTTTATCTATTTCTAGCTCCGCCATCAAACACAAGAGTGACCTCTGAGCCCTCCCCGCCGGTTGCCTATGAGGGGTCACGAATCGTCCTGAGCTGCGACGCCGAGCAAGGATCTGACCTTAAGTACACCTGGCACCTTAACAGGAAGGAAGTGACCTCATCGACCGCTGGATTTGTTATCTATGAGAACAAACTTGTGATGGAGGAGGTGACTCTGGACCAGGAGGGAAGCTACAGCTGCATTGCTTGGTCTGTGGTCCAAGACATCAGCAGGTATTCAACCAGCGCAGAGGTCAAGGTGACAGTCAAAGGTAAATGCCAACAAAACGATATTTCATGCATGCTGCATCTCTTCGTATGAAGGGTTTTGTTGTGCCTTGTGGTGGTGAAGTCGGACCTAAATGCAGATATGGCCGAGGCGGAGAGTTGGTTTCATATTTAATGAAAACTGACAACAAAAACTTACAAAAAACAACACAGGGAGCCAGAGCAGAACAAAAAACACAGGAACTAGGCACAAAGCTGCCAGGATGTAAAGGGAAAGTAACTGGAGGAACCAGGGAGGAATGACTGAGAATGAGTGGTAAAAATACTGGGGAGCCTGATTACTAAACAAGGAACAGATGGCTGATTAGAAACAGGTTGCAGGTGTGAGAGGAGAGAGAGAGCTAACAGGGGAGCTGTAAAAAAAAACTAGACACAAGGAATAAATACACAGAATTAAACTAGAATCACTAAAAAGGACTAAAGTAAAACAGAAATTAGGCTGATCTAATGAGAATATGAGGCAAACAAAGAACAGTAATCAAAACTATAATCAAATAATCAAACCCCAAAATAACCCACGACCTGACAGGTTTTGACTCTGTTTTTAACTTCATCCCTGGGTGTTGGATGGATTTGTTGTGTGAAATTGTTGGTTTGTTTAAGTTTCTTCTAAAATACATCCTCTCTCTCTCTCTCTCCATTTCTTTCTCCTGTTCCACAGTCAAGATCTCAAAACCGGAAATTTCCATCTCTGTTTTCAAAGACGGGCAGAATTACCATGGAAACGTAACCTGCCGGTCCTCAAGAGGAAGTCCACCTGTGAGCTTTTCTCTGCTACTGGACGGCAGGGAGGTGAGGTCCGCCACAGCTGCAGAGTCCCTCGCCGCCTGGTTCGACGTTCCCGTCGTGCTCGGACTGAACATGGGAGAGGCCCGGTGCCGAGGGAGAACGGAGGTGCAGGACCTGAAGAGTGAGGCCCTCGCTCTGGAAGTAGGTGAGACGTGTGTTCAGGGTCAGTTCTGTGATCCACACTGCTGGTTCCCTCGTTTAGGGGGAGCCACTTCTTAATTCCTCTTCATCAACCTTTCTCTATGACCGGCCGTTATATTTAGAGACAAAAATGTGAGTAATAATTTGTCAAAGTCATATTTGTTACTTACACATTTCTAAACGTCAGAGATCCAAACTAAATAATTAGCAAGTAAAATATTTAGTTACCAAGCTAAATATTTATTTTGCAGCTAAATGTTTTGCAAACTAAATATGTGGTTTGCCAACTAAGTGTTAAAGTCTGAGCTGGTAGATATTTTCAAACTAAATATTTTTTAAACTGTATATTTAATTTGAAAGTTAAATATTTAGTTTCTGTACTAAACATTTAACCTGTGAATTGAAAGTTTAGTTTGAAACTCTGACATTCATAAAAGTATGTTGAAAATATGACTTTGAAAAGTGAACACCCATATTTTTTCTCTATGACGAGCTAAATAAACCAAAAATATTGGGGTTTATTATTATTATTATTATTTTACTCTGCATACCCATTGAGCTCATGGCCTTCCTGTTGTCCTCTTCCTGCGTCTCCAGTCCCGGTCGGGCCGGACGTGAGAGTGGAAGTGGACTATCTGTACGGCGCCGAGGCCACGCTGACCGCTGCCAGGCTGAGCTGTCGCCTCAGCAGAGGGACGTTCCCACTCTTCTCCTGGCTCCTCAACGACTCCGTTCTTCTGCCCGAGGAGATTCGGCCTCAGGCTGTCCTGTCCCGCCAAAAGCAAGTCCTCTTCCTCACTCAGCTCAGCGCAGAGGATTCTGGGTATTACCGCTGCAGGGCCAGAGACAGCTACGAGGACTCGGGGCCCTGGGCCGAAAGCGCCGCTGTACTTGTCCAAATCACCGGTGAGAAAAGATATTTATCATAAATGAAAAGCTGGAGATGCACTCTCACGTTTCCCATCATTTATCCCTCATAGTCTGCACGGTTTTAGGCACCGGATGTCCAGGATACAAATACTTTAAACAGTCAGGACAAAGGAAACAAATAGATGTGTAACATTTCTGATTTATGCCGCATTATTATACGCTTTGGTTTTCCATTCAAAGCTGAAGTAAAATAAGTACTACTTGGGTTAATATGCTATTTCTTAACTTTATTAAAGTATAAAACTACAAAACTATAAAACATTATCAAGACCAAGTATTTTTGGTCTAGTTTCCAGTGCAAATATCTTACTTGAAATAAAATAAAACCAGTTTACAGGCAAGTTTTGAGCAAAAAAATATGAGCCTTTTTTTAAGTCGCTTATTTTTTAACGCTGATCGTTTTAAGAAAGTAAAAGTTATAAGTGAAATAATCTGCCAGTGGAACAAAACATTTCACCCTTCATCAGTAGTTTCAAACGAGAAATTCTGGATTATTTTTTTTTAACTTGGTGAAAACAGAAATCAGCTGTTTAGCTGTTCCAGTCACTGAATCCCAATCTAAGAGGTTTAAGGTCTTTTAACTATAAGTACTTTAAATTAAAAGTATATGAGTTAAACAAACTTGCATGGCAGCGTCATGGTGTGGGGAATCTTTTCTTTATCAGAGAATCTAGTTTGAGTTGATGGGGAGATAGAAGGAGATAACCTGGAATAAAAGCTCTGAGTCTGTGGTGAAGGAAACAGAACCAGAGCTACACTTTGATCAAAGCATATCGATGCGTTAGAATGGCCTAGTCAAAGTCCAGAGCATTTGTGGGAATAATATGCACTTGAAAACCGACGTGTTACAGATTTTTTCCATCCAATCTGATTGACTGTGGGATATTACGCAGAGAGGAATGGACCAAAATGTTGTTTTCTTAGACCTGAGACAGGGATGCCAGATACAAATACACACCACAGTTTTCACATTTTTACTTCAAAAACAAAATCAAAAACCATGCATCCCCACCCCGTCCCCGGTTCACATTCATGCATCGTTTTGTTGTTCTCTATCAGCTGCAGCGATGAGCGATTTTAATTCTGGTCATGTTTTTTCTGCTTGTTTTTCCGTCAACCAGAGGAAATCCTCAACTCGATGACTCAGGCATCATTCTGCAGTGAAACTTCACAAAGTAAAAAATAATATACCACACTAGTAATGTACTCTAATAAAGCCACGATGTGTT